TCAAAAACAAAGGATCATGGACTCATATTTTTCAAGGTGCTCTATTTTCTTTGAAGATGGTTGGAACCCCGTTTCTTTCTGTTTTGCTTGTTTTCTGTTATTTTTTTTTTCTTTTCTTTTCAAGGGTCCCAACCTGCTCTTACCGGCCATGCCAGGAGCGGATGTCTCGAGCCTCGTGCGGGGGAAAGACATGTAAGGGGGCTGGAGGTAGTAGGTGGAAATTGGGAACGAATTCCCGTCTCCCCTTACACACTTTCGCCCTATTCGCACGGGAGACGTTTATTTTCAAGCACATTTTCGAGCACCTGTTATTTTCAAAACATGATACAAGAGTCCATGACAGGCAGAGAATCCACAACACCACACAATTCAAGGGTCCTAAGATCACTAATTCACTCAATCAACCAACTCAATATGAAGAAGAAATGAGACTCCTTAAATGCATCAACATCCTCCATAGTGCTACACTACCTCCCTAGGTTGCATATTACTATAAAGACTGTCAATTCAAAGCATACTGAGCAGGCAATTGCAAGGAAGCACGTACTTGGAGCCCTCAAATTTAAAAATTTGGACAGTGGACTAGGCTCCAAGCACACAAACAGATCTAATGCAGTCAAAAGATAAACACCCCCCCACACTTAAGATCGACATTGCCCTCAATGGAGAAGAGGGAAGGATAAGGGAACGATGTTACCGGTATGCACGGACTGCAGGAGACTGGAAATGGGCCAGTCGGGGCACGCACAGCCAAAGGGAAACAGAAGAGCTCAAACACAATATGTTAGGTTCAATGGTCAGCCCAATAAAATATCATCCAAACCAAAAGAAAACAAACCAAACCCAAACCGGGTTACAATCCGACTCAAAACACAAGAAAGAAAATCAAACCGTGGTGGGGTTGCCTCCCCACAAGCGCTTCTTTACCGTCTTTTAGCTGGACGCCCATGGTGAATCCTCAGGGCGGTGCAGGAACAGGTGCCTCCAAGAGCGGATCCACGTCGCTCTTTAGGTACAGCTTCAGGTTGTGGCCATGCACCCGACGGATGCGACCACTATCATCAGTCAGCTCGACCTGCCCATCTGGCAAGATGCAGGCGAGCGAGTACCCAGACGGCCAGGGTGGTCGTGGTGCAGGGGGTGGGACTAGCTCATAGTGGTCTCCACTCTTCTTCCGTGCAGGCTTAGCAACCTGCGGCTTCGGCCGCCACTCCTCCTTGAGCTTTTTGTTCGGAGGCGAGGCTGGATGGAGTGGCGGCGAAGGAGTGATAGGAGGGTCCTGCAAAATAGGAGGTGCAGAAGGGTACATGACAGACTCGTGTAGCTGATCAGAAATGGCATTCACAGGCGTGACAGCAATCATAGCACAGTGATCAAACTCAGTCACAGAAAAAGTAGCCTGTTCATTCCCAGCACGCAAGATCAGTTTTCCATCATGCACATCAATAAGTGCCTTGGCGGTGGCAAGAAATGGCCTACCTAGAATCAAAGGCACATCCACATCCTCATGTATATCAAGAATAACAAAAACAACAGGATATGTGAATGCACCAACACCAACAAGCAGATCCTCTATGATTCCCCTAGGATGCACAATAGAACGATCAGCTAATTGAATGCTCATCCTAGTAGGGCTAAGTTCACCTAGGTCTAGCATTTTATACAACTTATATGGCATGACGTTAATGCTAGCGCCTAGGTCCGCCAAGGACTTGCCTACATGCATGCTGCCAATAGTAAGAGGGATAGTAAAACTCCCTGGATCCTTGCGCTTCTCGGGCAGCTTGTTCTGCAGGATAGCAGAACACTCCTCGCTCAGCATCACTGTCGAGAGATCCCCAAGTTTCTTCTTGTTGGTGCAGATATCTTTCATGAACTTGGCATACTTGGGCATCTTCGACAGTGCCTCCATGAACGGTATGCTGATGTTGAGCTGCTTCAACATTGCCATGAACTTGGCAAACTCAGTCTCCAGCTTGTCCTTGTGTAGGCAAGTGGGGAAGGGAAGCTGGGGTACATGCTCCTTAACCACTGGTTGTGGCTTGGGAGCAGGGGATTCCTTCTCCACCCGCACTTCTGCATCGTCGGCTGGAAGTGCTGAAGCAGGTAGTGGTTCCTCCTGTCTGGCCGGGACAGGATCAGCAGATATGACCTTACCGCTCCTGGTAAAAATGGCATCCAGCTGCTGATGCTGGTGAGGATCTCGAGGATTAGGAATAGTGGTGGCAGGCAGAGTCCCCGGTGCCCTGGTAGTGTTCTGGCGGGCCAAGATGCCCACCTGGGTCTGCAGATCCTGCAAAATAGCACCCTGGTTCCGCTGACCTGCCTCTAGTGATGTGATAGCAGCCTGGGTGCTAGTCATGAATGAAGCTAGAATGTTTTCCAGCTTCGTCATCCTGTCATCTGGGGCCGGAGCTGCTGCTGGCTCGGCGAACTGGCGCTGGGGCTGCTGGAATGGCTGCCCCTGCCTGGGCTGGTAGGGCTGCTGTGGGTCTGGCCCCTGGCAAGCCTGGAAGGGCTGCCTCTGCTGAAAACCACCTGCTGGTGCTGGGAAACCAGGTGGTTTAGTGGTGTTGCTGCTCCAGGCGAAGTTGGGATGCTGGCGCCACCCCTCGTTATATGTGCTACTGTACGGATCGAGGCGCCTCGCATTGGCGATGAAGGCCAACTGCTCCTGGGGTGTGGTAGACTACCTCATAGCCTGGCAGTCCTCCACTAGGTGATTGGAGCTCTCACACCACTGACATTGAGCTACTGGAGGTGTAGCCAAACCTCTGCCCGGAATCAGACTGTTGGGCTGCTTCAGTGTCTGCACCAGCTCAGCTACCTGCTGCTCGAGCCCGGATCTGGTCTCCATGGCGTGCACACCACGGTCTCGGGACTGTCTGCCTCGGCTACCCTGTCCCCAAGAATGATCTCTGGCAGCCAAAGTACTGATCATCTGGTTCAGCTCGGGTGGAGTCTTGGTAAGAATATCCCCTCCTGGGCATAGAGACTCAATCACCGTCTGGCTGTCTGGAGAAAGGGCACTGTAGAAGTTCCCCACTGTGAATGCATCACTGAAGCCATGATGGAGGCACTGCCAGAAATAGCCCATGTACCGCTCCCAAGCATCACGAAGGGACTCATCTGGCTCTTTGCGGAAGTGAGTGATCTCCCGCTGAATCTCTATAGTCTTCGATGCCGGATAGTACCGGTGCACGAACTTGTCAGCCAGATCGTCCCAAGAGGTGATGGATAATGGGGGCTGGGTCTCCAACCACCTCTTAGCATTCCCCGCCAGAGAATGGGGGAAGAGATGAAGGCGGATTGCATCATCGGGGACACCATTCAGCTTGAACCCGTTCGTCAGCTGCAGAAAACGGGAAAGATGCACCCTGGCCTCCTCATTCTTCAAGACATGGAATTGGATAGAAGATGTGATGAGCTGAATCCATCATGGCTTGATCTCAAAGTTGTTTGCTGGGATCGGCGGGTAGAGGATGACCGGGCGGATGTCAGCAATCCGCGGAGTGTAGTAGTACTCCAAGGTGGGACCCGGCTGCGGTGGATGATGAGCTCCATGATCCTGGGGTATGGGGTTGTTCCCCAGGACCTGATTCACCGGGGGAACCTGCTGAGGATTCCCCTGGTGCTGATTGTAATCTCCGTCCATTCCGTGCTCTTCTTCAGAATCGCTACTCAGGTGGCCGTCTATGCGCTCTTCCGTAGCCAGTCTAGCTCGCTGTTGTCTCCTGAGCTGGCGACAGGTGCGGTCAATCTCTGGATTCAACGGCAGTAAACCTCCCGACTGGCTACGGGTCATGCACTACCTGCACACACTCAAGCAAGCAAACCCGTGAAGGCACAAGTGGGACAAAGCAAACAAGGCAAAAAAGAAAGGCTAAATTAACAGAAATCACTTTTCTTCAACAACCTAGCCGTCCCCGGCAACGGCGCCAAAAACTTGACTCGACTCTACTGTCACTCCAGGAATTGGCCAAGTGCAACCACTTCCTAAAGCGTAGTATAGCGGGTTTAGGTTTAATTATCAACCCGGGTCCTAGATATGATGACTACTCAGTGAATTCGTGTTATCTAGCAATGAAACTGGAATGCAAGTCTAAACTATCAAACTAACAAAGCAGGTAAACGGTTGTATTCAGGTTAAAGAGGTCACCCGGATATGGTTCCCCCTAGACTGCAGTTAAGCCGGATTGTAATTACCAAGTTCAGTTTCTATGACAGTTATACTGCGGAAGGTTCTTAAACAGCCTGAAGTCTCGACTAAAGGTCTTCAGACCCTCTCAATCTGACTCTCTAGCGGGCGACTAACCTCCACCGGAGTCGACATATTGAGGCCCTAAGAACAAAACCTCCACTACCAGAGTAAATCCGGTACAGAATAGTGAGTTGGTTCCTCGACTAAAGTCACCAACTCCCTACCTTCAATCAAGGATACTCTATTAACCTAGGCAGATATTCTCATTCTAGGTTAAAGCAGAAACAACAGGAATTTGATCAGGATTCAAGTCATTCAATCATTAAAACCTCAATCGAATATAATCAATCACAGAATCAGTACTTGGGTTCATACAATCAAAGCCTAACATACAAATCTAGGGTTCTCCATACCCAGATGAATGGGAGAACTACTCCATGGAGAAGAAAGCAAAAGCAGAATCAGACACGGAATTCATACTGCGAAGGATGGATTCCTGCTTCTGGACGTTGATTGGCACTTCTCCAAGCTCAAGCTAGCCTCCAATGGTGTTGAAGATCAATCTAGGGCACTTGGGAACTCTTGCTCGTCACTTTCTCTCTCTAGAAGTCGTTCTATCTCTCAAAAACTCGAATCCTCCCGAATTGTGGCTGAAATTCTGCTTAAAAGGAGAAAATCCCGACTCACACGGCCAGGGTGGCACGGCCGTGCAGCTCACCCAGTTGCCCGTGTGAGTCAAAACGCATCGTTTCATTTAGTTCGAATTCCAGGCTCTTTGCACGGCCAGAATGGCACGGCCGTGTGGACATCCCCTCTTGCCCGTGTTTGCTCTCGCAGAATGTGGCACGGCCAACCCGGCCACTTGCACGGCCGTGTCGATCCTCTGCTCTGCCCGTGTGTGCTCCATTACTTCACACGGCCGTGTGAACATCAGGACAGCCCGTGTGACCTCCTTTGTGACTTGTCTCGCACCCGATCTTCACCCAATCGACCCCGAACTCGCTCCTAAACCTTCATTCACTTGCCAGGACCTGAAATATCACAAACAAGCACAACCTAGCGTGAAATCGGTCTAAAACACGAGAAACCACCTCTCAAACGGTGTAAGAACAGGGGTGAAAACATGTGTAACTAACGGTCTATCAGGAGTCTAGTTCAGAACGCCTTGATCAGTTGTTCTAGAGAAGGATACGTCCCTCTAGGCAATTGACTCAAGAGGGCCTTGTTCCTTTAGTCGAGACTCAAGGTCTAGTCAAGGATTCTCCGCATTGTGAATGAAAGTGAAACAAGTTAGAAATCATCAATCATTAGTCTGGCTAGTGGCTAGTGGCTAGGGGGAATCATACCTAAGTGAGTTCCCAACCTGTAATTAGATTAACTTTAACTGTAGTTTGCTAGAGTAATTTTAGTTCTTTCATCTTAATCTGGTTTGCTAAATAATAAACTGAAACTGAGTAATAGTAACTCTAGAGACCCGTGGATTCGATATTTATCACTTGAGCCACTATAATGCAGTCCCTTCCATTGGCTACACTTGGCCATTGTTAGGTGTTGTGTCGTAGCGAGTCAAGTTTTTGGCGCCGTTGCCGGGGAATTTCTAGAGTATTAGGAAAGGCAGAAGTTTGTTACTTTAGCGTTTTTCTTTTCTTTTCTTTTCCACCCTTGCTTTTCACTTGGGTGTTTTTGTTTCTGTTGGTGCAGATTTGAATCATGGATCCTCATGGCTTCTCCAATCATTGGGGGTATCCACCACCATCTGAGTGGTATTACTCCGAGACTCCCTGGAGCAATCAAGGAGGAGAAGACTATGGATTCGGGTTCCAATACCAACCCCCTTACTACAGAGAACAACCAGGCCCCTGGGCATATCAAGAACAACCTCATTACCAAGAAGAATTTCTCCCACAACTAGAAGGGTCATCGGCGCTGGAGTTACCCATGGCGGCCTTCACGGGCCATTCTGCAGAGCCATGCTACACTCCACAGCCAGATCCAAACTATGAATTGAGCCTTCTCATGGAACAGTTTGCTCGAGATTGTGAGAGAACATGCTCCAGGATGGATCATTGTGTCCAGGCCTATCGTGAAACAGAGGAGATCCTCCTGAGCCTTAAGAAGAGCTTCGATGATCTTGAGCGATTTTTCGCACAACCTGCTCCAGATCACCCTTCTGCTACCATACAAGAAGAGGAAGAGGAAGAAGAAGGCTACAAGGACATAGTGGAGCACACTGAAGTTGTCACAGAGAGCTCCCATGATGATCATGATCAGGAATGTCATATCATAGCCGACCACACCTTCCCGCATCCCAAACTGAGCTTTGAAGAGGCGGCCATGAGTGAGAAGATGCAAGAAGATCTCATGAAAGAAATTGCTTGGCAACTTGCTCTCCAATCCGTGCTAGAAGAAGAAGAGCAAGAAAGGGTGCAGAAAGAAGTTGTGGAGGATGACAAAAGTGAAGCAGGAGGAGTTCTTGATCATTTCCCAAGGGTGATTGACACGCCAAAACACAACACCAATCTGCGACCAAGTGTAATCGCAGACCGGGAATGCAGTAACAGGCAAGTTATATTATCAACCCGGGGTCTAGATCTACTGCTTACTCCGTGATTCTCTATTATCTAGCCAACTAAAGTAAGTGATTGTTGTCTAAAAACAAAAGCAGAAAGAAAGCAGGAAATTATTCGGTTTTCTCAAGCAGGAAAGAGTCACTCGGGAATGAGTCCCCCTAGCTCCTTAGTTAGGTTTCAATTGTATTTCCCTGGGTTGATTTACTGTTGATTAGACTGCGGAAGATCCGACAGTAGCTTGGAATCTCTTAAGCTGACCAAGCCCTCTCAGTCTAACTATCCGGCAGACGACTAGTCTTCACCGGGATAGAAAGCTGAAGCAGTAAGAACAGAACTCCACTACTGGAATTGGATTCCAGTACAAAGCAGTAAACTGGCTAACTCTCGTATAGCCAATCTCCTACTATCGAATGATGAGACTCTAGCAACCTAATCAGATTCTATCTATCTCAGATTGCAGCAGGAATCAGGAAAAGTTGATCAGACTTCAATTGACTCAATAAACATGCATCATTCGATTAAAATCAAACAGTAATATCATCCCAAGTCATTACAATCAATCCCTAACACATAGAACTAGGGTTCTTCATCCCCAAGTGAGAGAGGGGTTCTACTCCATAGAGAGAGAGAAGAAAACAGTAATCGGAGTAGTCATACTCATAAAGATGAGGAAAATCTGCTCCGGGATGATGATTTCCACTCCTAGGACGATCTCCAAGATTGATTTGATGAAACCCAGCTCCAAGATGGCTTCTAGGGTGAGTTCTTCGCACTTTCTCTCTCTAGGGCTCTGTTTTTGCTCAAAAAGTCCGATTCCCTTTCCTTGGCTCGATTCTGGCTTCAAAAACCCGAATCTGGGCAAAATACGGGCAGAATTACGGCCGTAATCACGGCCTGCCCGTAATTCGCCCAAAACGCGCGTTTAACTTTACTCTGCTGGAAGAAGATCCACGCCCGTAATTTCCAATTACCACCAGTATTTCTCTAATTACGGTCGTAATTTGGTGGATGCTTGCCCGTAATTTTATTGCCGAGAAGAATTCTTGGGAAAGTGGCTCGGCATTTGTTTTACGGGCATGCCCTGACCAATTACGGCCGTAATTTGGCAGGGGCTGCCCGTAATTTGTCCTGTGAATCACCATCTGACCTCCAAATGACCCAAAACTTGCACCTATGCACCTCTTTACCTGCTAGGACCTGAAATACGAAAAAACAACACAACCTAGCGTAAAATAGGCCAAGGAACCATCAATTCAAGCTAAAATGGACAGGAAACCAGAGTGAAAACACGTGCAAATACGATGCTATCAGTGATACCACATGAACAAGGAAGGGAGGTTGAAGAAGCAATTGGCGTCCAGGCTGAGGACGAAGTTGAGGTGGAAGAGGCTTGCACCGGGCATGAGTTACATTTGATATCTCCACCAAACGTCGAGGAACTACTTAGCAATGATCCATTTGCAGTGTCTCTTTGCCATACCAAGGTCACGTCAACATCGGTCCCTCTTGGTGGACACGATGGTGGTCAATCGATGCTGTCATATCTGGTTTGGGCAATGAGACGAGAGAAGAGAAGAAGAGGTCTCGAGGGTGGAGACTTCATTCGCATCAAGTGCACGAGCTTCCATCACCTGTCATACCACATGCTCGTGACTTGAGACTCCACCTCATTGACGAGAACCTCAACTTCAAGGAGGTTTTGGGGTGGACCGAAACTTAGGAGCCATCGTCCGGCTCACGACGTGAAAGAAGCGCTTGTTGGGAGGCAACCCAACCAGTCGGTTTTCATTTCTTTCTCTTTTTCTCCTCGGTTGAGTCAGTTTTGTTATTTGATTTTAGAGTCAATAACTCAACCTTTGTGAGATTTTGTGTGGTGTTTGTGGTCTGACCACTCTCTCCTCCTGGAATACACTGCCTGCCCCGTCCACCATCATTCACCCTGATCTGGTAACTTCGTTCTTCCCTCCTTATCTTTCCTCCATTGAGGACAATGTCGTGCTTAAGTGTGGGGGGATGTTCGATTATGTATGCGGGTGAATGTTTGGCTGTTTGTGTGCTTGGAGCCTAGTCCACTGTCCAAATTTTTAAATTTGAGGGCTCCAAGTACGTGTTTCCTTGCAAATTGCCTGCTCAGTATGCTTTGAATTGACAGTCTCTATAGTAATGTGCAACCTAGGGAGGTAGTGTAGCACTATGGAGGATGTTGAAGTATAAGATTTTTCCTATCTAGCTCTCTGCTGTGCCAGTTGATTTTGTGAATTAGTGGAGCTAAGACCATTGAATTCATGTGGTAATGGTGACTATGTTTGGATTGTGTTATGGACTCGTGTATGGAACAGGGTGCTCATGTGAAAAATGAAAAGCAGTTGGTCCTCCATGTCAAAATCATAAAATCTTAAACATGGGGTAAGCCCAACGTGTGCGGCACCGTTCATTGCACCAAATCGGGTTTTGGAAGAGATTTTAGTGATCCTTAGTGGGGTACTCCTACAAGGTGAAGCTAAGCTGTCTCTAGTACAAGTAAAACTTCCACCCGTTGAACGGTTTGCCTACTTGAGGATGTGTTTTTAAGGGCACGGATAGAGCTTCCGACCCCCCTTAATTTCATTGACCCTCCACACGAGTTGAGGAAAAGGAGTTAAAAGAAGTACTCTGGCGAGCGCCAGGTGTACAGAAATTGCTCTTGCTCGACTAATAAGGGTCGACCGTGCAAAAGACTGCAGTTGGAACCCCCGCCAAGTGAATGAAAAAGAAAAAAAGTAAAATGAAAGTGAAAAAGGGGTTCCAACGGTGAAGTGAAGTGAAAGAGAACCCCGGTACAATGAGTCCTTGGTTGTGAATGGTGTGAGTCCCTTTATCCATGAACTGACTGTCTTACTTCTACTTCTTCTCATGATCCTGGCTTGAGTCTAGTACTCGCATTGAGAGAGATAGGGAACGTCTTAGAAGACTAGTTGACCTCGTAAGCTGCTATATGATCTAGGAAATCCTCTACCGACGATCGGGGTTGTATGTTGCTATAGAGGTCAGGAGAGCTGCATTGGTTTGAGTTAGGTTTGCTTGGGGACAAGCAAACGGTTAAGTGTGGGGGGATTTGATGACTCGATATTTGCACATGTTTTCCCATTTGTTTCTTGATCGTTTGAGCTTTAATTATCGCGTATTTGGCCTATTTTAAGCTAGGTTGTGTTCCTTTGTCACATTTCAGGTCCTAGCACATTAAGTGAAGCATAGGCGCAAGTTTCAAGTCAATCAGAGATCAATTGGCGATTAGGGAGAAGAAACTCAGGCATGAACTGAAGAAGAATGGATTTATACCTCACTTTATGGACAATGAATCATGCAAACTTGTCATGAAAAGAAATAGGATGAGACTACGAGCGTCTGGGATCAAACGGCGACTGATTCGGAGTCCGGACGAGGGAGAAACGAAGCATTGAATATAGGGGAACAGGTTCGGCAGTAAAAACACGGGCGCGCCTAAATTAAAACACGGCCGTGCCCATATTTAGGCACGAACATGTTTTGGCCGACGCGCGCGGGTGTGTTTTTAACACGGGGCAAAGCACGGGCGGGCAAAAGCAAAGCACGGCCGTGCCCTCGACCGTGTTTTGCCCAGAATCAGGTTTTTTAACCCAAATTCGAGCCAAAGGAGGGGGAGAGCTGGGTTTTGGATCCCAAACACCCAAGGGACGAACCAAAGAGAGAGAGGGCGATTCGAGGGCATTCTTGGAGTGGAATTGGAGGATTTCTTTGCCTTGGAAGCTCGAGGAACAAGCCCAGACTTGAAGACTGATCATCTGAAGATTCTTACTGCAGTCTCTCTCTTCTCTATGGAGTAACTTCCCTTCACTTAGGTTTTGAGGAACCCTAGCTATGTTTGTTTGATTGGATGATTGTATGAGTACTCTGACTTGATAATCTTGATTCATATTCAATCTATGCATGTTTTCATGATTCAATTCTGCTTTAGTCGAGATTATTGATTCTGCTTTGATCCTATGAGAGAGAATACCTGATTAGGTCAATAGAGCACCATAGATTGATAGTAGTGGATCGATTGCTTTAGTTGAGGGCTGATTCACTGCTTTGTATCGATTGAGAACCCCTTTCGATAGAGGGAGTCTAGTTCAGAACGCCTTGATCAGTTGTTCTAGAGAAGGATACGTCCCTCTAGGCAATTGACTCAAGAGGGCCTTGTTCCTTTAGTCGAGACTCAAGGTCTAGTCAAGGATTCTCCGCATTGTGAATGAAAGTGAAACAAGTTAAAAATCATCAATCATTAGTCTGGCTAGTGGCTAGGGGGAATCATACCTAAGTGAGTTCCCAACCTGTAATTAGATTAACTTTAACTGTAGTTTGCTAGAGTAATTTTTGTTCTTTCATCTTAATCTGGTTTGCTAAATAATAAACTGAAGCTGAGTAATAGTAACTCTAGAGACCCGTGGATTCGATATTTATCACTTAAGCCACTATACTGCAGTCCCTTCCATTGGTTACACTTGGCCATTGTTAGGTGTTGTGTCGTAGCGAGTCAGGCATGCTTGCAGACCTACCTCGTGTGCCTAGAAGAATAATGATCGTGCAACTCTGTGTAACACAGCCTTTCCTGTGCTTCATTAATTCCATGACCAAACTGTTGCAAGTTGTATTGAGTTCCTACGTACCCATTTATCCAATGGTTACATGACTCACATCGCGATGTTGATTGGAGGCCACCAAAATAAATATCCTTCAAGTATGCCTCTGCCCAAAGTGATTTGTCAGCATACAAATTTTGCAACCACTTATTTGCAGACAAATCATGTTCAGTTATCAAACGCTCCTAGCGACTCTCAAACTCCTCAATTGATATACGTGTTTTCGCCAAGTGGATAAATGCGCTAACGAAATCTCTATTACAAAAAGTTGTGGATGCATTTGTCTCAATATGCCAAATACACAGTCGATGAGGCACTCCAGCCAGTACAGTAGCAATGGCGCCACACATAGACTTGCATCCTTCGGTGATCACTGAAGTCAGCATCTTATATTTCATATACTCCAGGAAAGTATTCAACATCCAAATGTAGTTGGGGATTGTCTCATTATCCAACTGCGCAAAACCATATATGATGATGCGGTGGTGGTGATTTACACCTACCATCACAACAAATGGCCGATTGTACTTGTTGTGCTTGTAGAATGCATCAAATGCCAAGATATCCCCAAAAAAATGGTAATCCGCTCTAGATGCAGAGTCTGACCAAAAGAGATTGCTCAATTCACCTTCATCATTGACTGTGTACTTGAAGAAGCTGCCTCTATCATAAGTATTTTTACTCTGCAAGAAACCCAATGTTTGGTTTACATCTCCTATTATATAATCGTCATCTTTTCGGGATTTTTGAATAGCGTAATCCAAATCCTTTGGAGTGTACCCCAGATTCTCATATCCTCCGACTTTATTCTTCATGAACTGAACAATATTGCGTTGTTTTATTCCTGATTGTCGCATCCCTATCGCCAATGTCTTATTTCCTTCACTCACATTTCGATGAGACCGAAGAAATTGAGTTTATTCTTCATTGTAGCAACGATGTGAGTGCTTCCTCTCGAACGTAGAAACAACCCACATTTTCTTCCTCCGATCAAAGCGTACATTATAGGATGCCTTGCAAGAATGTCTTGTCATCTTACAATGTTGTTGTATCTGACCTTCTTTATCTATATGCCTCTTTTGTCTAATTCTCTCTCTTGAACATACCATTTTCCTCCCAGTAACTACTCCTCAACGATTCCTCCGAAGATCTCTACGTCGAACGCTAAACCCTTTCTCTTTAGCATAGGCATCATATAATTTATTTGCATCTGCTAATGTTTGAAACTCCATTAAAGGAATTTGTTGTTCATATTCAGTAGCTTATTCATCATCCATAAATTCTTCTTAAGCACCCTCAGTTTTCTCTTCGCCCCAATCTCTTCATTATCCATAGTTTCTCCTCGGGCATCCTCAATTTCCTCATCGACATTGATCTCTTCAACATCGCTATTGTTAATATCATCTCTATTATTCATCCTGCAATGATCGGAATAAAAATTGTATGTTAATATGGAAAATACATTTTCGCAACTAAATCTGAAATTCGGTCTCGTCGGGTCGAACGAATCAAGGAGTAAGGTTGACCATATGACAAAAAACTGAAATTCGATCTACCGTGGAAATTCATAAGGTCGACCTAAGTATAAACAAACTAACGATAAACACGTAATCAAGCACACATGATACAGAGTTGTATAGAGAAGACTAGGAGAGGTCGATCGCATGAGAATTTAGGTCACCACATGATGTAGGTAAGCACAAACGATCTTCGGCCGATACTCAAAACATACCTTAGCAAATAAGGTCGACCACTTAGGTATAAGGTCGAGTGGAGTAAGAACGGGAGTACACCAATATACAATCACAATAAGGACGATGATATTACAACTTCACACCAACAAATTGCATAAATCGGATTATGATGAAAGTCTTAAGACTTCATCTATTTATAGAGAATATAGATGAAGTCCTTATCATTACTAGTATGGGGAACACTTATCCCAAATAGTCAAGGATACACAAAATCCTAATTCAAAAAGGAAAAGTACACAAAATTTGTGCACATATAGGTCGATCAGTTTATGGTCATGGTCGACCGTGTCTGCTCACAAAATTGTCATAGGTTGACATGTTCTCTGCCAACGAGGTCGACCTTGTTGTTTCCCTGGTCGACCTCTTTGAGTAAACAATTCAAGCTCTAATTCCTTGAAAGCAATCATTATATAACTAATCACATAAACAAAAACATTCAATATCCAAAAAGAAAACAACCTCGCAAATCAAAATTTAATGTATTGTCTAAAAAATGTAACATTGTAGCTGAATGATATCATTTCTTTGCTTTTTTGTTTGAATTTTTTCTCTCTTTGCCTCGTTCCACGCATTCATCAACTACATGTTTGAAAAGATTTTATCGTGCACGGTTTCCAAAATGTGTAGCCAGATACCATAGAATCTCTTTTCGAGCTGGTAATTTGTGTTTTCTCCTATCTGTATTATGCCATATAACACTTCGTAGAACTAAAAGAAAAACAAAATTAAGCAATTTTTTTGGTTGACGATATACTAACCACTCTATCAAGATCTTTGGATCCATAGCGCATCCACTGCATCACGTGCACACCGCACTCGGTACCATTCCTTTGCCGTGAACGCGTAGCTCTTCGATATTGAAATCTCCAAAATTTGGTACTACTACATTGCTCATGCGCTCCGGTTTGAAAATATCATGCAGTTTGGACAACTACACACAAACAACGAATAGTATATATTTCTAGCTAGGGGTGTTCAAACGGTGTGGTTACCGTGGTAACCATTTTAACCGGTACTATTTGGATAATTTGGTTTGGTTAATTTGGATAATTGGTTTGGTTTGGTTAAAGTTTTTGGCTTGTTTGGTTTAGGTGGTTTGGTTTGGTTTCAGACACTCCTAACCAGTCAAACCAAATTAACCAGTTAATTAATTAGTCATATATCAAACATATATTATATACATATACTTAATACTTTGCATAACCACTCGAGAGTTAACGTTCATCTCTTTTAGACTCATAAAATATAAAGTTCAATATTGCTCATATAGTGTATATTTGTATATGTAAAGTGTAGACCACAACATATGGACGCCTAATTTAGATAAAATTCATACATTATGATGGATGAAAACTTGAAAGGAAGGTCATTTCCAAGCTCCAGCCTATGATAATTGCTAAGAGACTAAGTCAATTTACACAAACACAACAATTCATTAACCCATACCATTGTCATAAATTTTTGTTAGGTGAATACTTCTATACTAATCGTAAGATGATTGTCTTAGTTGCATGTATTTTTGTTAATGGTCAACTATAACTACATGTTGATTGTTATGTTTTATTCATTATATAATTGCGAATTGATGCATTAACCGCAAAATTTTCATCGTTAATGATCATGTGATTTTATATTGGTTAATCTGGTTAATCAATTAACCAAACCGATTAAACTTTAGTTTGGTTAATTTGGTTGTTGTATTAGTTTGGACGGTTTGGTTATGATATTGTATTCCATGGTTAATGGAATTTAGCCTTATTTGATTTGGTTATAACCATGGTAACCATTTGAATACCCCTATTACTAGCAGTATACATGACACTTAGTAGTCAGAAATTATAGGAAACACTTACCATTTTCTTGCAGTGGTTTGATTTACGCTTACGACCCGCCTCACTAGTTGCTGGTAGAATGTCAAGCAAAAATGAGGTTTTTTGTTGGACATTGACGAGATACAGAAACTAATGACGTGCGTTATCGTCCAGAACTTGCATAAATATCTAACAAAGAAAAAGTATGTTATAAAATGAGAATACGAACAAATGCATTTTGAACGCTTAATGAGATAGGGACATTGACTAACCTTCTAGCATGCACTAACATTCGGAATAAACACTACGCCATCATCTAGCAACTTGTTACGGCTTTTTTCGGTCTTCATGTTACTGCGTACCATTTTCTGCATCATATTTTTGTTGAGATTAATTGACATGGTACAATATTAATAACTAGGTTATGACAAATAAATACAAATTACTGTCTTACCAAAAACATATTTGGCAAATACCACACATTTGGATCTTTATTCTCATTTTTTCAGACAATGTTAGTGCCCTTGCACACAAATCCACTACCTACAAACCATCAACCACAAAATCCTCGTAAATCATAACAGAAATAGTGCACAATTCATACCAAAGTCGTAGCAGTATAGTACTTACGGATGAGCAAATCCAACTACTCTCGCTAGACCGAACTCAAATATTGTCGTTGCAAGTTTTCATCAACAAAGTCAATAACGACCAAACTGCAAAAACAAAATAACATAAATGTAAGATTGTGACTTGAATAGTATCAGTCGACCTATTGACAGACAAGGTCGACCTATTCAGGACGACTTGATCGACCTCATTATTTAAACGGTCGACCAAATATACTATTTCAAAAAATAATAATTCTCTTACTTGTTCGATTTCGTGTCTCCATCATTCTCTTTAATAACAACATAAACAAGTATTCAACTGAATTTTGCAGATTTTTTATATATCCTTCTAGGCCCTCCACTTTCATGACCTACAACTCATAGTTAAAATTAAACTTACATATGAAAACAAGCACACATTCCCAATATAATAAATAAATATGAAACGTAAATTTAATCCGTGCTTTTCGAAAGGACTCTTAGATTCATCTTCGTCGCTATCAGCACTAAATAAATCTTTTCTTACTAAATCATCCTTCTGTGGAGTGGTGTATGAGTCATTTTCGTATCGATGTTTGTTGTACTTAGGAGAGGAACCATTGCTGCCAAACGTTGTTTCACTCTGTCATTCATCTAAACAAAACAAATTAGCACTAATGATAGTAATACTAATATCTTCACTCATATATGAATATACTTTCACCTTAAGCTTGTGGTCTTTCAATATATCGTCTATGCTCTGGTAGCAATTTGCAGAGTCATCATGGTCTTCCTACTCTTCATCAAAGTCAAATTTCTTTTTGGTACCATCTCTTCCTCCCTTCTTCATTTGTTCTGTGCGTATTTCTTTGATAGCACCTTCTAGCCTCTCAAAACCATCATGCATCATCCCAGTCATATTTGTCAATCAAACTGACAACTACTCCACTGTATCAAGCATGGTCTTCTGATAGTCATTGAATTCTTTTAGACACATCACCATCTGCTCTTGTATGGCTTTCAACACTTTCATAATTTCACCCTCATCGTGTTGTTGTTTCTCATCATGCGCCATCGTCTAATCAATTTAAAGAAAAATTAAAATCATAATTCAACTTGAAGTTTGTACAAATGACCAAGAATAGAAAAGTGGCCAACCTGAAATATAATTAGGTCGACCTGAAAGACATAAGTTGTTACTACCAGAACCAATTAGGTCCGCCTATGATCTTCCGAGGTCGACCTAACCAACAAAATAATACCAATTTACGAACAAAAACATGTGTAATACTACCACGAACAATTGATAGGTCGACTAGACACATTGACAGACCGACCTTTAAGTACAACAGAGTCTTACAAACAAAGCCAAAAGTCATATATTCAAGTTCTCACAATTGTCAAACAAAGGCCGACCTGATTGAAAGAAGGTCGACTGAATGTTCTTGTGCAATCAAAGAAAACATCAAATTAAACGGAGAAAATTACGAAATAGAAAAGAAGACGACGATAGCTAAATTTGGTCGACCTCACTTTTCAAACGGACGACCTCTTGAAGCACGTACATGAGCAGCCACAAAGGATCTTCTTCGCCAAAACTCTTACCCTACAGGATGAAACCAAAGCAAATCAAACTTCAAGTTAAACGAAGGAAATAAAAGAAAGAGCAAGGAAAACATCGTTACCTATGATCGGTCGACCTAAACTTGCATTTGGTTGACCGTTTCTGCTCCAAACAGGAAGAACAATAATAGACTTCTTCTTCACCAAAACTCTAATAGTACACAAACCAAATTCATAGTTTCGATTACGTTGAAGGTGACATATATTCGTATTTATAGATATTTAGGGCAAGATTAGGGCGAATTAAGTGGTAGACAAGTTAGGATTACCTTTATGGAGTTTTAATCCTTATCCAATACGAATACGGTGTGCACGTGGTCGACCACGTACTTGTCAGGTTGACCGTTTCTACTACTTTCTTAAATAATCACGACTTTGATGTTGATCAAGTAATGAAACAGAGGTCGACCTTTTCATTTATGAGGTCGACCTTTTGATAGCAAAATGGTCGACCTTTGAGATAATTGGGTCGACCTTTTATATTGTTCGCTTGCTAAAGAAAACGGTCAACCGCGTCGTTGAGCTCGCAAAACTGAAATACCATATTAGGTCGACCGTCGTTAATAAAAGGTCGACCGAAAAGTGGAAGTTAGTAAAGAAACTTAAAATAAATTAATAAACTAAATGACATGTTTGATCATTTTTACAAAGTATAAGGGCATGTTTGATGTAAAAAATAGCAGAATGACATGTTTGATAAAACTGTATAGTAGAGTGCATATTATACCTATAACCCAGGGACAGGTTACGATGATTACTATAAAATAGTAATCACCGTGGTCACTAAGGGCAAACTGGGTATAACAAAAAAAATTATTAATGATCTTTTTTAGTAAATTACATTTTAGGAAATTACATAAATATATTAAATACAATTTTTCTCTCTCTCTTTCTCTCACTTCTACAAATTTTCAACCAGATCTCTCTTCCTTCTTTTTCTCAATCTTTCCTTGATTTCATTCAGCCAAACTAATATCGCTGCAACAACAAAACAATAAATCAATACCAATCCATTAAAAAAATACTATCATTGTACAAAATATCAATACCATTCGAGAAATAAAAATACTACCATTTCACAAAACACCAATACTATTGCAGATTTAATCACTACCAATGCGACAAAATCAATACCAATGTGACAAAAACAATATCAATACGACAAAAACACTACCACTATGGGGGGAAAAATCACTACCATTTTTTTTTAAATCACTACGAAAAAAATCACTACCATTAAGAAAATATACCAATCCTTAAAGATGCTGGAGGTCTGCACGACAGCCTAGGCGGGCACGGGACGACGGGTCCAGTCGGGGCGACGGCGATGATGGAACAAAGTGGAGGTTGCGCCATTAACCATGCCGCAAGAGGAACCGACGAGCACAGAGGAGATGACGACAGTTAGTGGGGAGGCCTGGCGCGACGTCGAGCCGAGGGAAGGGGCGGCACAGGGCTGCCGATTTGCATTGCCGAAGATGAGGGTGAGCGCGACAGTGCTGGGATCGCCACCCATCCGACTGGTGGCTCGCCCGTGGCCGGAGAAAGGGGCGCGGAAGGAGTCGTCGGACAAGCAGGCGACGACGGCTGAAGAAGGGGAGTTGTCGGCGAAGGAAGGCGACGGGGTCGATCTCCTCTCTAAACCCAAGTCGTCGTCGAGGAAGAAGCTGACATACATAGAGGTGAGAGAGGGCGGTGGCCCTCAGTCTCTCGCAAACCCTAAGCCTTCGTCGGGGAGGAGAGAGCTTGCGGTTACGGCGAGTTTGGCTGTAGAAGTAGGGTTAGGGTAGAATATATAGAATAATCAAATGTGATTTTTTTTTTCCCCAAAATTATTGTAACTATAAGATTAAGGAAAAAAAGGAAAGAGAAGAAAATAAATTGTGAATGCTAATGTAACCACAATGGCTACTAGAAATCCAATTATCACCCTAACTCATTCCCTATAACCCATTTAAAATACGCGGCTAAACTAACCTCCGTCAGCCATATATATATAAATATATATACAGAGCTGCGGCGGAAGCCGACGACGCACGTAATCAACAGCCCAGCCACTAATCAATCAACATTTTCTGATTCTGAACTGAAATTAACCGCTAATGATAGAAAGAATCCGAATCCCAGGGACCGGACAAATCCACGACAGTGACCAGGCACGAAAGGTACAAAGCGGAAGCGGCAATGTCATCAATTTCAATTCAATGGCCACAAAGAAACAACGCCACCAATCAAAAGGAAGTACGGAGAAGCGATGATGATGGTGACAAAGCCCCAGCTACCCGTCCTGCTCCTGCTCCTCCTTCTCCACCATGAATTGAGGGCGAAATCAAAATATCTCCCAACACTCTCCAGATACCACCACCACTACATCAGAGCAAGCATAAATCCCGCTTCGTTTCCACTCAATCATTCTCCACCATGAGACTTCAGAGAGACGAAAGCAGCAGCAAGCAAAGACGGAGTGGAGCTTCCCCCGCCGCCGCTGCCGCTGCGTCTTCGTCATCGGCGGCGAGCAACATGAAGACGATCAACGATGCCAAGAAGGGGAAAGCAACCCTTGCCCAGTTCAGCGCGGACGCCGGCCTTCTCGCCGAATTCGAGCGTTCCGGTAGGTCTAGCTCGTCGTTTAACTACTCTAAATCAGTTCGTTTCCCTCCCCAGTCTGTTCCCGAGGAACAGATTGCTATTTACCTGTCCAAAATCCAAAGGGGCGGTTTCATTCAGCCGGTTGGCTGTATGCTCGCCGTCGAAGAGGGGAGTTTTGGGATCATTGGGTACAGCGAGAACTGCTTTGATTTGTTGGGTTTGGGTTCAATTTCTGAAATTGTGTCGAGAGGGAAAATGGGTTTGATTGGAACGGATGCTAGGACCCTTTTCACGCCTCCTTCGGGAGCTTCATTGGCCAGTGCTGCTGCTGCCAGAGAGCTTTCTTTTCTAAACCCTGTTTGGGTTTACTCCAGGGTTACAAACAAGCCCTTCTATGCTGTACTGCACAGGGTAGATGTTGGGATTGTCATTGATCTAGAGCCTGCAAGGTCTAGTGATCCTGCATTCTCGAGGGCTGGTGCCGTTCAGTCTCAAAAACTTGCTGTTCAAGCAATCTCAAGGTTACAGTCACTACCTGGTGGCGATATTGGTGTCTTATGTGACACGGTTGTGGAGGATGTGCAGAGGCTTACGGGGTTTGACAGGGTTATGGTGTATAAGTTCCACGATGATGAGCATGGGGAGGTAGTTTCAGAGATTAGAAGGGAGGATTTAGAGCCCTACTTAGGGCTTCATTACCCTGCAACAGATATCCCTCAAGCTGCACGCTTTTTGTTCAAGCAGAATCGGGTTCGGATGATTTGTGATTGCAATGCCAATCAAGTTAGGGTCATTCAGAGTGAGGAGTTGAAGCAGCCTCTGCTGTTGTCCAATTCTACTCTCCGCTCTCCACATGGCTGCCACTCTCAGTACATGGCCAATATGAGTTCTATTGCTTCATTAGTGTTGTCGGTTACCATAAATGGCAATGATTCAACCAAGCTTTGGGGATTGGTTGTGTGCCACCACACTTCCCCTCGGTATGTCCCTTTCCCACAGCGTTATGCATGTGAATTTCTAATGCAGGCATTTGGCCTGCAGCTCTACATGGAGCTTCAATTGGCTGCACAATTGCAGGAAAAGAAGGTTCTGAAAACACAAACTTTGTTATGTGATATGCTTCTCCGTGATGCGCCTCTTGGTATTGTCACACAGTCTCCCAGCATTATAGATCTGGTGAGATGCGAAGGAGCGGCTCTGTTTTATGGTGGAAAGTGTTGGTTGCTTGGTTTAACTCCAACGGAATCACAGGTGAAAGATATTGTGAAATGGCTGCTTGACAATCATGGTGATTCCACAGGGTTGACCACGGACAGCTTAGCAGCTGCTGGATACCCTGGTGCTGGTTTTCTTGGTGACGCAGTTTGTGGCATGGCCGCTGCTAGCATCACCTCTCAAGATTTCTTGATCTGGTTCAGATCTCACACTGCAAAAGAGATGAAATGGGGCGGTGCAAAGCATCATCCGGAAGACAAGGACGATGGTGGGAAGATGCATCCAAGGTCATCGTTTAAAGCATTTCTTGAAGTGGTGAAAAGCAGAAGTTTGCCATGGGAGGTTTCAGAGATTAATGCTATTCACTCATTACAACTAATAATGAGAGATGCTTTACATGAAATGGAGGATAACGGTGCAAAGGTAATGGTTTGTTCCAAGAACATGGACACAGAGATGGAGGATATAAATGAAATTAGTTCGGTGGCGAGTGAAATGGTAAGGCTGATTGAGACAGCTACAGCACCCATTTTTGGGGTAGATCTTGCTGGTTTAGTAAATGGCTGGAATGCCAAAGTTGCTGATTTGACTGGATTAAAACCCCAGGAAGCCATGGGAAAATCTCTTGTTCATGATATTGTCCATGAGGACTCGAGGGGTGAAATTGAAAGCCTTCTAACCAAAGCTTTGCAAGGTTAATCCTTTCCCTAACAAGTAATCTTGTAGTCTGCATTAATCAATGCTCTTTGATTCTATTAGTTTGATTCGGCTTTGCCCCTTTGTTGTATATACTTCCAGCCATGAAACTATCTGCAATATATGCTGCTGATGACCATTTTGTGCAGGTGAAGAAGACAAAAATGTGGAGTTAAAACTAAGGACGTTTGGGCCGCACCAAGAAAACTCGGTCATATTCATAATGGTTAATGCTTGCACCAGCAGGGACTACACAAACAACATCATAGGTGTTTGCTTTGTGGGTCAGGACATTACTCACGAAAAGATTGTTAAAGAGAAATTCATTCGCCTAGAAGGGGATTACAAGGCGATCATTCATAGTCTTAATCCCTTAATTCCACCAATATTTGCTTCTGATGAGAACGCTTGTTGTTCCGAGTGGAATAGCGCCATACAAAAGCTGACAGGTTGGAGCAGAGAGGAGGTCATAGGTAAGGTGCTTCCGGGTGAGATCTTTGGAGGTCTATGCCAGCTGAGAGGTCAAGATAGTTTGACCAAGTTCATGATTCTGCTCTATAAGGGAATTAGTGGTCGAGACACTGAGAAGCTTCAACTTGGGTTTTCCGATAGAGATGGGAATTTTAAGGATGTGGTCATAACAGCCAACAGAAGGAGTAATGCACAAGGCGACATAATTGGCTGTTTCTGCTTCTTGCAGATTGTGGATCCTGGGGCTGAACAACATCCTATAGAAGTTCATAGACAAGACGACGAGCATAAGCTGACAGAGTTGGCTTACATACGACAGCAAATGATGAATCCACTGAGTGGCATTCGATTCACTCACATGCTTCTCGAGACTACAGCAACATCAGAATATCAGAAACAGTTCCTTGAAACCAGTGATGCATGTGGAAGGCAGATCATGGCCATTATCAAGGATGCAGAACTTGGGAGACTAGAACAAGGGTAAGTTACTGCTCTTTTGAATCTATAGTCTACATCAGGAGTTATATATCACTTGGATCTCTCAACTAGAGTGTCTTCTATCAAAGTCCCTGAAGTATTTTCTTTTCCTATAGTAGTCCTTCCCTCATTTCTTACACTCGTAATCAAGTATTTACCATCAGCCTCCTGGTAGTTGACCATTAATTTGGATCCCCTCCTTACTGATTGGGCAGTGAATAAGTGCATAGTCTGCCTAAAATAAACACATAAATTATCCTGCTGCCCGTTCATAAAAAATAAAGAAGAAAAACCACTACCACCATTGCCCAGACAACAAGGTGAGATCCACTTTAACTACTTACTAACCAGGGACTTGGGCAGGAAACGTCGAAAACTTGAGGCACTACCATATGAAAGAACTTAGTTCAAGGTATTCGATAGTAGAAACGTAACTTTATAGTTGAAGGGCCCAGTTGATATATATAACTCCTACGTCAATGTATTACTGGTCGTATAAAATTCATTATTACTGTTGAAAGCAGCAAAGTGGAGCTCTGTGTGGAAGAGTTCGTCCTGGGAAATGTCTTGGATGCCATAGTTAGCCAAGCCATGATCTCTGTAATGGAAAAGCAAATCCAGCTGCTACATGAAGTTCCCGAGGAAGCGAAGACACTTACTCTGTATGGTGATCAAATAAGGCTTCAGCTCGTGCTGTCAAATTTCTTGCTGAGCATTGTTCATCATACACCTTCGTCAAATGGATGGGTAGAGATCAAGGTCGCGCCTGGTTTGAAGCTGATACAAGATGGCAATGAGTGCATCCGTTTACAGTTCAGGTACACTGCAGAATGGATTTTTCGCATAAGTTGTTTTCCATTCATATTTGGCTATGAACTTGGGGCTGTCTGTGCTTTGCAGAATGACACACCCTGGTGCCGGCCTGCCTAGTGCTCTCGTCCAAGACATGGTCGAAGGCGAGAAACGATGGGCAACTCCGGAAGGTCTTGGGCTTAGTCTTTCGAGGAAGTTGATCAATATGATGAATGGTCGTGTGAGATATAATAGAGAGCAAAATAAATGTTGTTTCCTCATTGATCTTGAGTTCAGAACTAAGGAGGGATAGCAGATAGGGTTGGTGCCCAATTACTAATGGGAAGATAACCTGTATGTAGCCAAATAACCTCGAGTGTTGTGCGATCCATTTCTGTTGAGAATTTGATGAGTTATTCCAACCATTTTCTGTGTCGAGAGTTATACTACTGACTTGTGTCTCCAATAACAGAGCTCCATAAATTAAATCCCAGATAGTGTTTGTCTGACCACTGTACAATTCTGTAGAATAATTGCAGAGACAGAGTACATAATTTCGCCGCAGGCGTAAATGGGGAAAAAAGAAACACAAATCATGCCATGCACAAGCTGGTGGTGAGCAGCGACAAGTTTGAGTGCTTCAACTGTCATCATTTATCCTTGTTGATCTACAGAAGAACCATTATTCGTTGACAAAGAGGGGATCCCAAAATGCTTCTGCTACCCTTCTTCTGAACCTGCCGCTAATACTTTATACAAAACCTGCAAGTAACTTACTTTTTTCTTCTCTTTTTCTTCCCCCAGATGATCATTTCCCTCCCACATTTGTACACTTGGAAAACTATACACGCAAAACAGTTAGTCTTGCCCCATGTCCTACCATCAATACAGTGCAGGACAAGGGCTTCCCCATCCACCTTCCCCCTCCTTCATTGTCATCTTTGATCAAAAGGGTAATCATCTGTAGGACTTCCAGCTGGAGAGTCCTCAGAATATAACCCATTTGGCTGACGGAACTGAATGTTCAAACTGTTTGACTGTAGATGCTCGTGAATGATCTGCAAAAGAGAAATGAGCTGATAAATTGAAACTTGAAACTCGAAACTCAAACCAAACACGCTTTATCATCACGTACACTCAACATTTCATTTCAAGCAAAGTTAAAACACACCCTTAAAATAAGTTATTCTTCAACTGGAATTCCATACCTGGTCGACAAACTCCTGACCCTCTGAATGGAACAGGATTGGCCGGCAGCGTTTGTCTTCATTCATAAGACTCGAGTTCTGGAAATGGTTCACAAGAGCTGCCTTTCCCTGGATCCTAGCATATGCCAAGTAAGCAACTTTCTCACTATTGAACTTCTCCCACTTCTTACCATTGAACGCCTGCACCGAATCACAAATGATAAACCATACGCTCAGAGGAAAAAGACAATGAAGAGTCAAAATAAGACATGGCTGAAAATAACTGATAAGTGACCTCGTAAAATGGGACGATGTGCGAAGGAGACAACATATTGATAAATGCATAGCCCACGTTGCATTTATTCTGCAGCAGGCAAGGAAAGGCCATCAGCGATTAAAAGATAACTAGACAAAAATAAATCAGGATATAGAGCAAACATATCTCCAAATGTTCAGTGTAAGTACCTTGAAATCAATGGGCAAGTAGAGGAAATCATAGCTACCCCTGTGCTTCTCATCAATGGCAGCAAGCAGCATCTTAGAAGTGTACCTAAGAACAGTATAACAACACAAGTAAAGAATAATTATCTTACTGTAATAACCATCTCAAACACTAGCAAAGACGACAGATGGCAAACTTTACTTATTCGGTATATTCTTTATCATTAGTGTCGTCCGAGAATCTTCCCCATTCATGATCTTATCCAAGTCAAGCTGAAACTGCTTCTTGGTATCAACTTGGCTTCCATTACTCTCAATCCGTCTACTACTGCCACGGTCAATAAAATTATCCATGCTAGGGGATGCAAGTCCTGCTGCATATGGGCTACTACCTAAGAAAACGGGACTAAGCCTTGGGGAAGACATCATTCTGTTGTAACTTGAAGAACTACCATTGTCAGGCATGGTTCTAGAAATATTATTAACTCCATTCATAAGAGGATGTGGTCCCCCCATATTCATCATGAAGTTTCGATCATTCTGACCCATACCAAATCCTCCAAATGAAGCAGCGGGATTCATGAATGATGTCTCTGGTGAATCTGGCTGGAATCCCAAGTGCCTCTCCAGAGGGACTCCAGATGGAGCAGAACCGACATGATGATGAAGATGTTGTTGGTGACCCAGGAAAGAACCATGCCGACCTGAAAATGGCAACACCTGTCCCTTCCCATTGGATGGAAAAGGATGCCGTGTTGATGAAGGCATTGGCCAGGCCGAAGAGGCTGATGAAGAAATGGTATGCTGTTCCGGATGAGAGTTCTGGCTTCCCCAAAGAAACTGTGGGCCTGATAATGTTTCCATAACAGATCCGCTTGATGTTGAAGGACCCAACGATGACATGCTTGCATGAAATTGGCTCAACTTTGAGTCAGGTAGTGAATGGGATTGTTGGAAGGCAGATCCAAGTAGTGAAAGGCTACTCCTCCCATGCTCTCTCCCAATTGGTGCGACTTTCATTGAATTCGAGACTTGAGGGTGAAGAATTGAAGCCAGCCCAGAGACATGGCTACTATGAGTTGGGCTCATGTTCCTGAAAACTGGTGATTTACTGATACTCCGCAAAGGGTTGTGTTCTATTGGACTGTTGAGCTGTAGCCAGTTACCTGCGATAATTTGTTCCAAATTAGTTCCAAGGAAATTTTCAGAAATTGCAAATGTAACAATTTTTTAAGCATGTCCCACCTGGAGGAGAGTTGGTTACTGGAGAACCCACTGGATGGCGAAAATTTCGAGGCTCATCTTGCTCAAGCTCTTGATTCAGTTGCAACATCAAACTGCAAGGTGAACCGTGAAAATGAAGGACACAATCAATTAGAGAGTACTTTCGTTCTACACCAGTGGTCTGGATGGAACCCCAACCATCAAACCACCAAAGCAGCCTAAGAATTTTTTTGGGAGGGTGAAAAGGGGAAAAAAGAGAGAAGCAGCACAATAAACTTGCAAAAGTAAGATAAATAAAAATGAATAAGAAAATTACATTCCTAGAAACAAGGTAAGGGAGGCTTGGCGGAGGTTACACGCTAAACTAGGTTTAACTGAAAGATGCATGCTTTTCATACCATAATAAAAGAGCACATTGTGCTCAGTGTCAACCACCATGGTGATACGACATTACTGTAATTCAGGTTGACAAACTTACTTTCGACGAGCACCGCCAGGGCGACTTGGTTCTAGCTTTATGCGTTTGCCAGCTATGTCACTTCGATTTAACTGCTTAAGTGCTGCTTCTGCTGCCCTCACATCATAAAACTCGATGAACTTATGGTGCCTCTTGTGTGGTGTTTCCCTGATCTGTTTGCAAAAAAGAGAATTTCAGTCACAAAATGTTCACATTAGAACAATGTGAAAATTAAAATTTTACCTCTTTAACCTCCCCATAGACACCAAAAATCAGACGCAGGTCTTCATTTGACACTGATGGATCCAGATTGAAAGCTACAAGAGTTCCTTGATTGACATCCTTCTCAGAAGGATTATCCTAAAATGTGGAGTCAGAGAGACTGTAAGAACTCAACAAAGCACCGGCAGAAACTAAACTTGTTATGTTGCTCAAATAGTTTTACCTTAGGAATTGAGAAGTGAATATCGAGTTTTCTCCTTCTAAGCGGCTTATTTTGCAATGCACGCATTGCAGTTCGAGCAGCACGGATGTCATAATAAGATATCATCACAAAACCCCTATGTTTGCAAGCAGTGTACAGAGTCCTAATGTCACCATATTGCTGCATCGCATAATTTAGAGAAACATGTTTTAGTGCTTTGGATGGATAAATCGAGAGGTCCAAATGCATCAAGAACTCAGAAAGAGGGAAAAAGTAAGAGGGCCAGATTGTGTTATACCTCAAACAGAGCCCTGAGTTCAGAATCCTCAACATTACTGTTAATGTTTCGGACAAATAGTGTTCTTGAAGGGTGCTCACCATATGGATGTTCACCTGCAACTGTTCCAACACTACTAGGAAGACCATACTGAGGAATTCCATTCCCAGCAATACCATCAGACAAGTTGAACTTCGAAAGACCAAAGCTCATGTTTTCCTGCAAGTCCATTTCCAGTTCCATTCCTCCTCCACTGCCAAAAAGATCATAATCATCGAGGTCTTCAAGAGATAATGGTAACCTAGACAGATCGAGATCATCCATTATCCCAGCTAAAAGCTCATCCTCGTCATCAGGAAGCAGGGTACCAGCAACATGAGCTTCATCATTTTGAAGTATATCAGCGTTCTCCCCATTTTGATTAAGTGTTTCAGAACCAGCAGAGACATCATCAACTGACTGTTCACCATGATCTGTCTCTTCCAAATTCACTGCAAATGTAAAGCACTGTCAAATAGTTGCAAGGAAACAAGAACACAAAATAAGATCTGGAAAGAAGACGGAGCCATACACTTCTCGTGTGGTAGAACAGGTAAAGAGCTAGAGAAGAGGGCAGCATCGCTTGCTGTATTGCGGGTATCAGATCCAGAAAAAATTCCGTATGCACCATTCCCCGCAGGTTTACTTATATTCACAGGCTGAATCATAGTGGGACCTGATGAAGATGGCACATAAGATTGGATTAGAGACGCAACGTTATCCACAACCATCATAAAACGTGAAAAATCCTCCATAAAGAACTACCAGGATACAAGCTATGTGAATGCTGCTTCATTGCATTGACTAGCTGATAAGAACGAACAATCACATGCAGTTGTTCAGATTAACAAATTACCAGAGTATAAACTGTTATGTAAAGCTCATACACAAACTTTCAGAAATCAAAAGAAAAGGAGGGTATAATTTGTTTATCAGCGTACAAAAACAACAACAAGAAATTAACATTAAAATAGTAGTAATAGTGATTTCATTCATACAGTTTCTTATCAACTATGATCCTCAACCCAGTTACCCGGCAGAAACCACTAATCATACATGCTACACAGAGAGGGGGGTAAACAACTCATGCAAAGCATGTCCACAATAGTACAAAACTCCCAACCATAAACCCTCAAACGAACCACTGCAAGAGCAACTCACCTAACTTGGCTCCGAATCAAATCCTAAATCTTTCAACTAATTTCTAAAATCATCACAATCGACCTAAAGCACATACATCAGCAAGAGCTGCAAACTCAGAAAGCTAGGATGAGACAGTCTAAGCAAGCAAGGAAAAAGAAGCACATGCACCTGTTGGCAGGAAGAGCAGTTAAATTGATCTGAAACCAGAAAGGGAACGAGAGACAATAAAACGGGCAGGAAGCAAAATTAACTATTTACGTGGTTCAGAAAAGACACGAGGCAGGTGCCTTATTGTACAACGAATAATGGGGAAGGAAGAATCTTTCTCTCTCCCAAATTGCCACCATATAATTTCAGCACACCAAAGCAAGAACCCAGTTCCTACATGGCCTGGAAACAGCAAAACTTCACTGCATACTTCCGATTCTCCCTCAATTCACAAACCCTCTTACAAACCCTTTTTTTGGCAAACACCAAACCCCAGTTCAATAGAAACCGGCATTCATCGAAACCGACAGGCTGAAAAACACCTCCGAAAAGGAGAAGAAGAAAAAAAACCCCAATAGAGAAAACACGAAAAAGGGAGAGTGTGGCAGCGATCAACGAACGAGGGAACCGTAAAATAGTCCAGCAGCAGAAACCCAGCATAAAAAGCAAAGAGAGCCCAGAAGAAAGAGAGGGATTAGTTTACACTACACGACGACGATCGCCACACGCGAGAGCAAAGGCGACGACTTTGTTGCGTAATCCACTGCCTCACTACCTCTTCCTTCTCTTCTGGTTCTTCTTATTGACCACTGCGTCGAACTCTTTCTTGCTTCCACTTCTCTCTCTCCCCCTCCAGAATTATTTTTCTCTCCTTTATTGGAGAAGAGAGCAGAGCGAGATAGCGATGGAAAAGGCAGAGAGCAAGGATGATTGGACGACGAGGCCGAGTTATTAAATTATACGGCTGAAGGTGAAAAAATTATTGCCAAGTGCGATTGTCTATGGAGGGGAGGAGAGGAGAGGGACGAGTGGCTTCAATTGGATTTAAATCCCTTTTGGCGTCCGCCTGAAATGGGGGAAATCATACTAGCTTGGTGCCCGGCCTTTGGCCGGGTGTTAGAATGCGTTTGTGTCGGATTAATGTCCTAATTTGCATACTATTTTAATTTTTTTAATAATAGTGGTCTATCACGACACTATGTTTGTTCCTTCTCGATGCTAGATAGTCTCCGGTTCTTCTTTGCGCTCCTCTCTCTATTTCGAATTTGATTTCCCCATTAGTTTCCAAACGTGGAGAAGTGTAGGAAGTAGAATAGAACTGAAATGATTGAATTGCTGAGTTTGATGCATTACAAAGAATTGGATGAGTTAGAATCATGATAACTGTTGTTGAATGCCGAGGGAGAGGCTTGATTCAAATCCAAACAATATTGTACTTGTTTTAATGCCTTGAAAACAATGAGTGAATTGGCGGATGGATTGCTTTGTCGAGGTTGATGCCAAGGAATTTCCTTGTTGGTGGTGTTCTTTTGTTCTTCGTCCTCCTGCATAATTGTTAATTAGTAATATCTTTCTTCTCTAGTGGGGAAGGTTCGGAAAATCTTGTTTTGCAATGCAACTGGTTCTTTTTTAAGCTTAAATTCACATGAATGACAATGGAATGGATATATCTTATCTAAGCTTAAATCTACCTGAATGACAATGGATTTCATGTTCTTATCAAGCTCTACTTATGTGTATATAGTATGCAACATGGAGTCTACATTTATAGAAAACAGACCTTTAAGTACCTCTCATGAATTGCCCATATGGCCAAGTAGAACAAATATGGCTATGCCTACATTGTCCTCATCTAATAGAGTGACGCTGTACTTGAAGTTTTGTTCTTGGTTATAGGCTTATATCTTTGTTATTTATTGTAGCAAAAGGCTTTCATAATTGGTTTTGCGAGTTGGTGAAGTTACCTTGGAATACCATTGAGTGTGTTGAGGATGCAGTCCAAGGATCAAAACTACAATTCTCCTGGCGGTATTTTCTTGCGGCAATTAGTGCAGCTTAAGTAACTCCAATCTTCCATCACATCTCCAACTTTTGCCATGACTTGGCAGCTTTCTCCCTGCAGTAAAAGCAACAGGTATGTAATTAATTTTGGAACTGGAGTTGATGCAAATGAGTTTCGTTGCAGCAGTGTGTGTAATGGACTTGGTTTTCATAGTCTATTTTTTGCTGCTTCTAGTTGTGTTGTACTCATGTGTGGAGGATCTAGTTGTTATGGAATATTATAAGGAAGAGTTGCTAAAGGAATACAATCTATCCAATTACAAAGAACCAAAACTAAAATGACGTTGGAGGGACTAAATCTTGATTACCAACAATGAGGGATGACAATAGAGAAATAGTAGCAGTGGGCATAAGGTTATTGGGACCTTCCTCAGCAGGTATAGTAGTCGTCAATGTTATGCAAGTGTGGTTTCAATTTGGATGATTGATTATGGTTTTCTATGACTGACTACATTAGTTATGTTTTGAGACGAAAAAAACTCTTACTTACAACACGGTTAATTGGTAAAAACTAAGATCAAAGCTACAACTACATCAGCAACTACAAAACAGGGAAGGAGGATTTGGGGAATTACACCAGATGCAGTAGCTAATAATGAATCGATTCAATTAAAGAATCAAACTCGATCCCATGGTAGTACGCGGCCAAGAAAAGAGAAGGAAAAATAATGTTGATGAACAGGCAAACAAAGAAACAACAACTCAAACATAGGCGGTTGTTTCTCCTCCACCCAACCTAAAATCTCAAACAAAAGCGTCAGACTCACTTTATCTGACTGTAATTAATAACAAAGTTTGCAACTTGTTGACAAAGGAAGGCGAGAATGATCCAAAGAATGTCAATTAGAAAGCAAATTTGCAGGACATAGGCTGAACAAACTCATTAGAATGGGGCTTCAAGAATCATTGTGACGATATTGAGGGCTTAGCCAAGAAAATCTTGGCTTCGCAGGCCGCAGTCGGCCACAATTTGTCCGCGTCGTTGCCTTTCCCGATTAACGACAGGAGAGGATGTAGAGAATGAACCAACGGGTGTCAATCAGAAAGCAAATTTGTAGGGCAAAGGGTGAGCAAACTCGTAAGAACAGGGATTCAAGAATAATTACAAAGATATTGAGGGCTTACCGAGGAGACTATTGACTTCTCAGGCCGTAGCCGCCGAGTCGCCGACAGTTAGGCCGCGTCGTTTCCTTTCCCGAGCAACGACAGAATAGAGGAAGACCGCCTGACCGGTTCCCTTCCCGATCAACCACAGAAGAAAGGAACATCATTGGTGGGTATTGATCAGAATACGCAGGAGGATTTGAAGCCGAAGAAGCAGGCCATGGAGGATACTGTTCTGGCTTTTTGGAGAAGCAAGCAATCGAGATTGAAAAGAAACAACCGAGAAAGAAAGGTTAACTAAAGGAAAGGCAATCTTTTTTTACGGTTTTAATGCCCGCACCATTAAGTGATTGGAGGAAAACAGGTGATGACGTGGACGCATGAGGAGGGGAGAAATTTGAATCCCTGAAGCGTTTTTCCGGAAAGCCTATTATATATTCTTTAGATTGTAAAAAGAAAAAGAATTGGGGGAAATCATTTATTTATTTATTTATCTAATGATTTGGCAGCGTCTACCAAAAAAAAATGATTTGGCAGCGGAATTAAAGATTAATTAATAATAAAATTTCATGTATTTGGATAAACCAAGGTATTAATTTGACCACGGAAGGGGATGATAATATCGATATTGCCATGATGCTGACCTTTGTGGGCCGGTCCGTGAGATGAGGATAGGATATTCCTCTATTTTATCTTTTCTTTAATGGGTTTTATTTCATTTCATAAAAAAATAGAAGTTACTTTTGGATTTAGCTGCTTGGTCCCGTTTTTTTTACAGTAAAAATCATTCTTTATTCCACTTCAACTCGAGAACCAATTACATTGATCAAAAGAAATCAGAAATTAAGTCAAGAATACTAATCCAGTTAACTGGGAGAGAAGATCTAGCAAGAGAACGAGCAACCCAATCCGCTCTAACATTAAATTTTCTTGAAACGGCTTTGACCTTCAATTGAGGGTTCGACCGAAGGATAGAGACCATTGATCCAATCCAAGTTGATCCCCTCCATGGCCAACAACGATGATCATGATCGAGAGCTTTGACCAACACCTGGCAGTCAGACTGGACAACACATTCAGTGCCATATTCTTGAGCTAATTTTAGACCTTCCAAAAGAGCTTTTGTTTCGGCTTCGAGCGGGGTGGAACAAAGGAGAGTATCAGCTCGCCCATCACAAACTTGTCCATGGTGGTTAGTGACCACAACACCATATGCCGCCGGCTGGGAGTCGCTTAAGAACGACCCATCACAGTGAATCACCAGATTATGATTGCTTGGCGGTGGAGAAGTGAGTGAGTGGGGTCCCCTGAGCTGAGGAGGAGGAGGAGGAGGAGAATAAGAAGGGGGGGTTCCTCGGGCAAGTTTTCCATTCAATGAACTCCTTGTAAGTACGCAAAATCACGTTCGGATGCCAAGGGATCCGATTCTTGAAAACACATTCATTTCTAGCCTTCCAAATACTCCAACATAGGAATACAACATGAGTAAGGACTCCCGGATGGATAGAATCCTTGATGGAGAACAACCAATCAAGGAACGAAGAAGTATGAGCCGACAGAGAAAGGTTTGGGAAGATAACGTTCCAGGACTCCCTAGCGTGGGGACACGAGAAAAGGCAATGGTAGAGGGACTCCATGGGGCACTGGCATACTTGGCATGTAGAGTTGGGGGAGCATTTCCTATGAAATAATCTCTCTTTTGTTGCAAGGCCATTTTTAGCACATCTCCAAACAAAGAACTTAAGTTTAGGGGGAATGTCAAGATTCCACATCCATTTCCACTTCTCAACATTACTCAACAAGTGGACCGAAGAAGCTGAAAGGTGAACCACATGATAAGCCGTCTTGACGGTAAAATTCCCATCCTCATTTAACCTCCATGCCCAGAAATCCTTCGAGTCTTCCTCACAAATCGGGATTCTCAAGATAGCTTCCATCTCCGAAGATGTAACATTTCCCTCAATAATGTCATTATTCCACTTTCTGGCTCATGGATCAATCCATGCATTGACTCTTGTATGATTTTGAGGGCCACTCTGAATGCTTGCCTTGTGGAGGAAAGGAACCCAAGGGTCTTGATCAATCCATGTATCTTCCCCTCGACCCAATCACTCTGACAGCTCCCAAATCGATTACTTTTTTGGATTCCCACAAGCTAGCCCAGATCCACGAAGGTTTGCTTCCTTTTTTCGACGTAAGGAAGTTGCCTCTTGGGAAGTACAACCCTTTGAGCAGACGGCTCCACAGAGTATCAGGATTGGTAAGAAGCCTCCAGGCTTGTTTGGCAAGGAGTGCCAAATTGAAGGCTCTAAAACTTCGAAATCCCAATCCATCTTCTGACTTAGGGGAACAAAGGATCTCCTTCTTACACCAGTGCAGAGAGCATTTATCCATCGATCCTGACCAGAAAAAATTGTTGAGAAGAGTGTCCATTTTCTTGGTGAGGGAAACTGGCAGAAGGAAGAGGCACATGATGAAGGATGGGATGGCCTGAATAACTAACTTGAGAAGAACTTCCTTCCCTCCGTGAGAGAGAAGTAGGCTTTTCCATGCTTCTCCCATCTTTTCCATCCTTTGAATAAGGAAGTAGAAGGTTTCTTTTTTTGAATTTCCCCATTCGGTTGGGACTCCAAGATACTTTGAGTGGCAGTTGGACGGAGAAAAACCAATGTGGTTGATGATGTCATTTTTCTCCTCCGCTGGGACATTTGCACTGAAGAAAACAGATGATTTGTTGATGTTGACTTCCTGGCCAGTGATTGACCCATAATCTTTGATAACCTCCATAATTCTCTCCGCCTCATGAATGTTAGCTTTCCCAAATATAACTGTGTCATCAGCGAAAAGACAGTGAGTAAGAGTGGGGCATCTCACGTTGAGCTTAATTCCTTTAATTCGATCTTCTGCTACTGCTTTGTCAATAAGGAATGTTAGGCCATTAGACATTAAGATGAAAAGGAAAGGTGAAAGGGGATCTCCCTGTCTAATGCCTCTTGAGGGACAGAAGCTTTTTGACGCTTCCCCATTGAATAGTACCGAGAACTTGACCGACCGAATACAGGCACTAACCCATTTGCACCACTTCTCATTGAACCCATATCTTCTAATGAGGGTCTCAAGACATTCCCAATCAACCATGTCATAAGCCTTCTTCATATCGATTTAAGGATCATATCTCTTCTGTTACCGAGTTTGTGGTTCTTGAAATGATGTAGAACTTCATGTACAATATTGATATTGTCCTGGATGAGGCGACTGCCTGTGAATGTTGTCTGGAGCTCTGAGACCAGAGAAGGAGTCCATCTCTTAAGACGGGTAGCCATGATTTTAGATATGATTTTGTATCTGAAATTGCAATAGCTAATTGGTCGAAACTGGCCAATGGTTTCCGGGTGGTCCACCTTAGGTACCATTGCAATGTGAGTTTCGTTCCAACCACCGGGCATTGCTGATGTCTCGAAGAAATCCTTAACTTCTCTGCAAAGGGTTTAGCCAACCTTATCCCAGTATCTCCTGTAGAATTTCCCTGAGAACCCATCAGGACCTGGAGCTTTCCTGGCTCCAAGAGAGAAAACTGCTTTCCTGATTTCCTCATTGCTAACTGCAGCACAGAGGTCCACATTCATCTCTTCAGTTACCATCGTTGGGAACCCTTGGAGAAGGTGGGTAAAGGAAATATTAGGCATTGCTTTGAACAACTCTTTGTAGAACCCTACTGACATATCCTTCAGCCTTGTCACATCTTCCACCCAATTCCCCATCTCATCTTTAAGACGAAGGACTCTATTTTTATGTTTTCTATGGATAGTGCTTGAGTGGAAGAAGGAAGTGTTTTGGTCACCTTTTTGAAGCCAATTGACTCTAGAGCATTGACTGCAGAAAGCTTCCTCCTCGAGCCATAATCTGGTAAGTTTTGCAGTAAGGCACTTTTCTTCTTCCACATTTTCAATCATCCGTGGAGGTTGTTGGAGAATCTCAAGTCTGGAAACAATTTCATTCTCCCTAAGAACACTGTTCTTATAAAAGTCTTTTGACCACGCTTTCAATTCTCTCTCACATTTGCTAAGCTGATTACTAGATGATCCACCTGGGTCCCATTCTCTGGAAAAAATCTCCTTGTGTCCCTCTTTCTCCAACCATCTTTCATCCACTCTAAACGTTGTTGTTCTTCTCCTATTGCCCATAAAGTGGAGATCAATTCTCAGAGGACAATGATCTGAATCCACCATTTTCTCATGGAACACCACCGCCTCTCCAAACTCTGCTCTCCAAGATGGCGAACACAACACCCTATCTAGTCTCTCTCTGACCAAATTTGGGCAAGTATGTTTATTTGACCAAGTGAAAGGGTTTCCTTTGAAGCCGATATCAATTAGTGCATTTTCAAAAATGAACATTTTGAAAGATTCAACATTCTCGTACCTAAGCGGGCATCGCCCTTCCTTTTCATTTTCATAAATAGCCGCATTAAAATCCCCTACAATTACCCAGTTGTCTTCCCTACTACTCCGAAGGGTACTCAAGTGCTCCCATAACGCCCTCCTACTAACGGCAGTGGTTGGGGCATGAACAAAGGTGCAAAAGAACTTTTTCCCCATGTCGATACTAACATCCATATAATACTTGTCACTACTAAGTACATCAATACTAATACCCTCCTTCCACCACAAAGCAAAGCCCCTAGACGAGTTAACCGGTTCAACATACTTCTTGTTAGGGAAAATCTTGATACTTCTTCTTTGCTCTTCCATGAAAACTTCATCCTTGCTTGTTTCCATGAAAAAGACAATAGAAGGGCCATGACGACGTATTAGACATTTTGCATAACTTCTCGTAAGGGATTGGCCAAATCCCCTACAGTTCCAACTTACAATACTCATGGGATGTGAGGTGGCTTATGGCGAACCACCGCTGCCGTTGAGTCACTTTCTTCTTCCTCACGAACTCCTTCATTTGTCATGTGGGTTCTTCTCTTGTGGTGTTTCTTCTTTTTTCCTCTACCACTTACCCCTTCTGCAAAACCAGAGCTGGTTGGGCTCAAATTAAAGCAGGCCCCTTCATTAATCCCATGCTCAACCTCTCTTGGGCTTTTGAAAGACAGCCCCTTCCTTTTCTTTATATTTCGGCCCACTTCTCCCTCCAACTCCTCCTGATTATGTTGATATGGGCCCTGGGATTGCATGATATTTTGGTTGGCCTCAATATTAATACTCTCTTGGACTTGGACATTGGAGAAGCTTGGCCCAAGAGAGAGATGAGAGCCCATCTGATATCTCCTCTCCAACTTCCTTCGGCTCTCTTCTTCCCCATCGATCCGCAGCCTCCCCTGTAGTGCTGCCGCTGCCAATTCCATCTCATATGCTAAATCTCTTGCCCCCATCTCCTCCCTGTATCTTCCCTTCATTCTTCCCACATTGCTTCTTTCCTCCTCCCTAACCTCCTCCTCCAGTCGTCGAATGGTGAAGCCCGGTGGAATCAAGGGATGACTTCCTCCCCCATCTCCTGTCGCAGTCAGCTCCGCTACCTCAGCTTTAACCCTGCAAAAAGAAGAGTCACCAGAACTATAGTGTTTTCTCCAAGAATTAGGATCGGAACTGGGATATATCGGTTCTTCTTCAGTTCGGCCCTTGCTTCCGCTCGATCTGTAGGGAGAGTCGATCCCCGCTTTGAGCTCCGAAGTGTAGATGTCCTACAGCTCGACATGCCCTCCCTTCTTCCTTTCTTCCTTCATCCTCGCACAAGTCGGCCAGTTGTGGCCAATTCTCCCACAGAAGTAACATAGCTCAACCAACCTTTCATACTTGAATGAAATTTCTTCACAGTATTCCCTTCCCGTGGCTTCATCAGTGAAAGGGAAATCAAATCCCATCGGGACCGGTTAGCATAGATCAACTTCAGCCAACATTCTAACAAATCTTCTGTATCCATTGAAATGGATACTAGCCCTATCCATATCAATGAATTTATTGAAATAGAAGGTACCAATGGATATGATGTTCTGTTCACATCTTTGGCTTTGGTGGAGGCCATGGATCTGCACCCAAACTGATAGTTTGTTCATTGGCGTAGCTTCAGGGTCTCCTCTTCCCTCATACTTCTCTAGAGCTGTCATTGTATTGGATAGGCTCCAAGGTCTTTCGAGCCATACCCTTTCCCGTGTTTTGGCATCCTTGAAGGTGAAGATGAAGAGGTTCTGAGCTTGGGTTGGCTGGACTCCAATCTCCCCATACTTCCCCCAGGCGTATCTTGCTACCCCTGCTGCCTTTGCCAAGGCGACTTTGTTCTCGGTAAGCATCTTCCCCAATAACATCGAGATTCCCCTCCCAGCGTTGGTAGTGAGCTTGGGACGTTCTCCTCTGCCTCCAGAAGATAAGGGGTTGCTGCGCTCCGTGCTCAAACGTCCGGCTCTCTCAGCAAGATCATTGATATCCATTCTGACCGAGATTCTATTTGATAGGTGGAGGCTCTGTTTAGGGAGAAATTTGATTAAAGGCAAAGCTATCTGGGAATGAGAGAATAGGTTTTGTTTCGAGGCTTTTTTGTGGATATGTAAGGTTAATAGGGTGTGAAAGAGAGGGCTCTACTTTGGGGGATTTTTGGGGATAGGTATAGAAGGCAAGAGATGTGGGAAGAACCTCTGTTTTGGGGCGCTACTAGGAAGATGCAGAGACGTCGAGAGGTAAGAGGGGTTATTTGTAGCGGATTTTGGCTTTGTGAGTTTGCAACAGATTTTAATGCTCCCCTTCTGAAGATGAGACTCTCTTCCCTCTTGAATGAGGTTGGTATATTTCTTTTCAACAACTTCATCATTTCCCAGCTGGCTGCAATGAATCTTCCTTTGCTTTTCATCTGCCAAAACAGGGGCTCTTGGCTCTATGCTCCCTTTTACTCTGCCTTAGGCTAGGCGTAGGGTCACCAGAAGCACATCTTCCCAGCAATCTTCCCTTCTTCTTCCCTCTTGTCTTCCATCTGATTTGCCTTCTGCTGCCATAACTCTCCTCGTCTGGCGGTTTCCATAACTCACCCTTTTCACCAAGTGCTCTGCATATATTAAGTAGTCTAATCGGGTGATTTCTTTTGAAAAACAAAGTGAGAAAGCGCACATCCCCTTCTTGATGGATAATAGCAGCAAGGATCTCTTTGCAGGTGGCATTGAAGATTAACAGATGGCTCTTTCACATTCGATATTTTCAATCCAACTAGACAATATGATAGAGTTTCTAAAATATTGATAATCAAATATAAAAGATGCAACACGAAGCCAAATTAGATAATACACATCATCATGACATGCAAGATGCAACCCAAATTTTCTTGGAGATGCAACCTCTTGCAAAACGATTTTATATGAGTTTTATGAATTACTTGGTGTTTGATGAATGTATTATTTGGATTGCCTTTAGTGATATTTTTCTGTGCTCTATCTTTATGACATGTTTTAAACTTAAATATATAAATTTTGCACAATTCTTTTTTAAAATATATATTGTTAGTAAATGATATATGATTCACGATTGAACCTCTTCCAACAACTTGAATTATGGAGATCAACTGGTTCTTGACATTGTATCAAAGCCTTCTATAACCGATCGGTTTTCTGTTCGAATCCCGACGACCCAATCTATTTTTGTTAAACACGTGGTGTCCGGACCAGTGGCTTCAGTTTTGGGGGGGGGGGGAGGGGGTGTTAGCAAACTATATATGATTCACGATCGAATCTCTCCCAACAACTCGAGTTATTGGGATCGATTATAAAGCCTCCATCCGTATGAATATAAATTTGAAACTTTTAAAATAAGGATGTGATAGTTTAGAGAAATATATCTAGTTGTCATCTTTACCCATGTCTAGTCCCAATGATAGAAAATAAACAGATGCCAAATGGTGGAGTCCTCTTTCGATATATCTTAGTAGTTACCATTAGGGAGTGGAAGTTTGGGTTGCGGGTTGTGGATAATTCGCAAACCGGTGCCCCGCACCTATTGTGGGTAATCATACCCACAAGTTATGGGTAGTGGGTTGAGTGTGGGTAGTAAAATAACAATTTTTGTGGTTAGTGGTTATCCACTACCCATCGCGGTTAACCCACAAAATCCACAATAACCACACTAATTATATTTATTTAGTGAATTAACTTTATAATATAATAGTATGTGAAAAGTGCGAGGATAAAAATTAAAGTAACCACCAAATAAAAAAGACACACCTAATCAGTTTTATGTAAGAATTTTTTTAGTTTATAAAACACTATAATCGGTAGAGTAGAGAATAATCAATTCATTAAAAGTGAACACCTTTTGTAACTTTTATAAGTATGTTTTTGCTTTTGTGTGAAAAAAAATACAAAATCAAATTTAATTGTCATATTTCGCCCCTAGTCGGGGAAATATGAAATCACAACTCTCTGACACAAAACTTGAATACCAAACTCAAAAAGAAAAATATCCACGTTGAGTAAGATCGATGTACAAAATTGTATCTCCACGAACAACACAAGTGTATATCACTATAGTCTCGTTACGAACAACAAATACGTTAGTGGCGACTAGAACTCTATGATTGCAAATATGGATTTTTGTGGGTAACCACACCCAACCCGCACAAATCCACAGTGGGTAGTGGTTACCCACTAACCACTGCGGTGCGGATTGTGGGTAGCATAATTGTAAATCTGTGGGTGTGGGTACCCGCAAAATGTGGGGCGGGTAACCACACCCACCCCAATTTCCACCCCTAGTTACCATCATCTAAATTCTAACCTCCTGATTACGGCAGGACGATTTCAGGTTTTTTTGTTGAACCAAAATGGATAGTATTATTTAGAGTTTTGTCTACTTTTTTCTATTTTAAATTTCATTCAACGAGAGTGGAAGTAGGAAGGACATTTTGTCTTTACAATTATTTATTTATTTCATATAAAAAATGCCAATACAGGATTTGAACCCAGGCTTCTTCAAAGAAAAAACAACAATTACAACCAATTTCACTAAACAAATTTTGTTGTATTTTTTAATATAAAACGCCTATGTGTGGCCCCGCTTTTAGAAGTATTTTCGTCTTCAAAAACTGAAGCAGGGCCAAACACCTCTAAAAGTTTGGCTTTTGAAAAGACGAAAAACGCTTTTGTATAACATAAACTAGCATGGGCCCCGGCCATTTGGCCGGAGGAAGGTGAGGTATGAAATTTGATAATGTAATGGGGTGTATAGCTTATTGTTGTATAGTTTGTTTTGGGAAACACATGCTAAAAATAGTGAATTTTAGTAGGAAAGAGACATGAATGATGCAATGAATCAAAAATCAGCCTTATGAACCAAAATCAAGTACCTGTTACCTTGTGAAACAATATTGTTTCTGGTAATATGATGAAGTGGAGTAAGTTTTATAGAAACCGAATTCCTGAAAATCGAATAAAAAATCGCCTATCCCGCTGATTTTCGGGAAATGAGCATCTCACAATCGTTGCTAGCTTTTACTCGGCCCGTTGGCCGATTAATTTGCTTTATAAAACTGTCATCTTGTCATCATTGTGCTTTCTGGTTTTTTGCCAAGCCATGATAAAATCTAAAGAAATCAAGAATGAACAACACGATTTGGGATAGGAACCACCGTTCTTGTATCCCTAGAAAATGGTGGTAAACACGGACTCACCTACCAAACTGGTTTGGATTGATATTTTTATTGGGTATCAGGGAACCATGTGATTATAAATTAGACTTGATCAAAACGGGCCAAAACTTGAAATTCAGCCTGTTTGACCGACCATGCCAAACTCTAATTATTCTTTAGTTTTAAACTTTCTATTTGAAAATAAAAAATAATGAAATAAAAGAGATGACTGCAATTCGCCATTTGCGCATCACTGATTCTGGAATAAAACTATAGAATTTCGAAAGGAAACTGAAAATGTTTAGGATCGTTTTAATGTTAAAAATAACCAAATAGATCTTTCTGTTTATTTTTTTACTAACAAATATCAAACGATTCCCTATAATATACAGTATAATTTAATCATTATGATATCAAATAATTACATAATATATATTTAAAATGATAAAAATTGGACTACTTGGGTTGGTCGAGGTTGAACCATTGAATAACTTTAAAATACATTATATTTTAACCACTAAGATATAAAATAATAGCATAATATATATTATGCTAGAGAAAATAGCTTGTTTTAGAATGACAAACCCATGATGGTCATTTGTTTTACTTGATGGGCAAATCCCGTGTAGGTCAGACCCATTCAACTCTTTTATTTTATGATTAGTGGTTAGCCCATTAGAACCCATGCATTAGTTTATTGTTAAATCTTTTTCTTTTTAGCAATAAAAAGGAATATTGTTTTTGCCTTTTCATATATATTGTACCACCACGGAGAAAGAAAAGGGTTTAAAGAAAAAAATTGACACTCCTGGACCCGTTTAAATCCGCATGTGTACGGTAAGTTGGCCCGTTTCACGGAGAAAAAAGGAAAAAATTGACACTCCATATTCTACCCTTCCTACAAACGCTCCTCGAGCAGGAAATTTGAAATGGGGGAAATGTTTTTTCCTCTCTGCGATTATATGTTTTTAATTTAAAAAGATACAACAAATGTACTTAGTGTGATTGGTTATGATCTTTGCTTTTCTTTAAAGTGGTCATGGTTCGAATCCTAGTAAGTGTCTTTTTAATGAATAAAAAAAATTGTGAAGACCAAAATGTCCTTCCTACTTTCACTTTAGATGTAAGAAATTTGAAATGGGGCTTCAAGTTTTCTCATTTGGCTTTTATTTATTGTGTAGACGCAAAAGCTCCAAATGAAAGCTCTGATTTGGAGCTTCTGCGAAAAGCTATTTTGAAAATACAAGATTATCCTTGTCATATTTTAATTTTATTTACAAAATACAATTCTATTTCATATCTATCATTTTAAAAATAAAATAAATAATAAAATCATATTATTTATTATGAAAGAAATCTAACAAGATCCATTTTGACTATTTTTTATTATTTTAAATTTTTATTCACAGTTTATATTATAGTCCTTTATAGTCATTTTACACAACCTCTCATATTAGAAAGCACTTCTAATAGTTTTTCAGCAAAACACTCAACTGCTTTTTTGAAAGGTACTTATCTAAAAGCTCAAGACAGAAACTGCTTCTGCAAAAGCTACAACAGGGCCAAACTAACCCAACATACATGAAATGACACTCTGAAAATTAGAGGGTTTTTCCATCATGATTAGCAAGCTCACTAAGTCTACCGTATGTATTTTTATGGTGCTTGATACTGCAATTTTCATAGTCGAGTTTCATGTAGTTTTCTCAATTCTAAAATTACTGCGTTTTCTTAATTTTCGCTAAAGGTTAATTGGCATTGGCTAACATGGAAGAACTAATTCTATTATTACATGTTGTGTCCTTGCATTTTTCAATTTATATTTAATTTTAGTACTTTTTTATCTTTGTTCTTATCTCTTTCAAACTTCCTTCAAAATCCCCTGCGTCGTGCAATAGTTTGCGCCCCTTTCACTACAAGACCGCCTTTGAAAGTCAATCTTCTAGTATCTCTTGGAGCGACAATTTTATTGTTGGGGATTTAAACTGCGCAAGGAGAAGATATTAACTCCGATATCAATCCATGGTGAATAGAATGGAGTTCAATAAATGGAGTTGCAGAAGGAGGATCAGAATTCGGCATTTTCTCTGGCTAGCTTTTCATAACCGATTGATGACAAACTGTGAGAGGAAAAGGCGAAAGATCTGCGTTCAAGGCACCTGCGAGATGTGCAAAGCGGCTCCCGAATCAACTGAACATATCTTGCGACACTGTGCGACGGCAGCTCAGGTATGGCATGCTCTGGGGATATCAGATTCTACTCTAACTATCGGTCTCAATATGACAGATTGGATGGCAAGGAATCTCAAAGACTCAAAGACTGGGCTGCTGTTCGGGGTTGCAGCGTGGTATCACTGGAAGAGAAGGAACGAATGGATTTTCAACAACAAGCATCAAGAAACACATACTCTTGTCCAAAGAATTCAAAGCTGGACCAATACCATTCGAGAAGCACAAAGCAATGAGAAGGATATCCATACTTTGCAACAAAGAAAAACCACAACCGAGGTTGCTTGGATCCCCCCCAATCCTGAATGGGTGGTGGTCAACTCCGACGGTTCTGTTAAACACCCGGATTCGTTGGCAGCTGCAGGAGGACTGGTGCGTGACAGCTCTGGCAGGTGTCTAGGTGCGTTCGCCTCTAATCTCGGAGCTTGTACCATTACCAGGGCTGAGCTGATGGGTGCTATTCAGGGGCTTCGGCTTGCCTGGAGCTTGGGGTACCGCAAAGTGGACTTGAGAATTGATTCGATGGTTACTCTCGGCATTATGAACTCGCTTGGGCCATATGAAGGTCGCTATCACAATCTGTGGAGGCAATTCCAGAGCCTCTTTCATCAAGACTGGGAGGTTCGTATCTCTCACACTTTCAGAGAAGGAAACAAAGCAGCTGATTTTTTGGCCAATAAAGGCCACTCTCTTGGTTTAGGATTTCATGTTGTTGATCCGAGTGACTCAGGGCTTAATTTTTGGCTCTTGTATGACTCTATGGGCATTGCCCAATCTCGTTTAGTTTAAAGTATCAGGCAGGGGCGCCCTTTTAGCATCCCACTTTTCTACAAAAAAAAAAAAATTGAATTTTTGGTTGAAACATACGCCTCTTGAGATTGAAGATATAATGGATAAAAATTTGATTGTACAACGGAGAGTGGTGACTATTGGATATTTAAGTTTATGGTTTTTGCAGCTATCACAACCTATTTCTATCTTAAAATGAGGAATCATTGATTGATTACTGAAGTAGATCGTTTGATTCTTTATTCAACCTGCTGGAACTGATTGAGAAAGTGTATAATTTTGTTCCTTATTACTTTGATCGAGTCTATTAGTTATTTGAGGTAACCCTTATTTTGGCGTTTGCTCTCAAGTTATTGATGGTCTCCTCTTAGTTAAGTTGTTAGTATATAATTGGCTTGAATCAACAACTCTCCATTTATTTTTTATTAAAGGAGAGCATTGAACCTTTATGTAGGATTGCGAGGTTTAAGATTAAGTTTCAAACTATCTATGGTTCGTGTGAAAATTCCAGTAAGTTTTTATACTTATATCTTTCTTGACAATCAACTAACCGATAGTATTTTAAAGAGGACTTAATTATCATTATCAAAATGGCATCAGTGATACATTTTTATATTTTATATTCTTAAATTATGATGATATTTCTTCAAATGTTCGACCTATATATTCATTTTTTATATATCATCTCGACTGAAAAAGTGTCAATAAAATAAAACGGATTAATAGATTTAAACGTAACATGAAAATATAAAACAATCAAATATGAATATTTCGGCTAACGAATCGGGTTATAAGCTAGTAGATAAAACCGACAAGTTTTTAAAGGTTTTGATTATGATCAAACTGTTAATAAACGAACAAAAATAATTGATAAGTCTTCAAATTTCAATTTATTCTAACAGAAATGGTAAATTTTTTTTTATCAATTTGGGTTTGATTTTAACCAGTGTTATTAAAGCCGGACCGGTCGGTCCGACTGGTGAAACCGTCACCCGGCCATCAATCCGATCCGGTCAGGCTATTTAGCCGCCCCGGCTGGAACACCCCATTTACAAAGTGAACCGACCGGTTCAACCGCCAAACCGTTCGAACCGCTTCATTAGTTTGACCGGTCAGAATCTTGGTGACAAAAATATCCAGACAATGGAGAGGGCTGGGATTCAAACCCTGCAGCTCTTGGTGCAAAGTTAAATGTTGATCCAGTTGTGCTACTACCAATTTGTATAATAGGAGCTACAACTCTCATTATTAAACACTTTTGTAGTGTTTAGTTTTGAACCTAATCATTAAATAATGTTCATAACTATTAAAAATTACTCGTATTATACTTAAATAATTTATATTTATGTACAATTATATTCTTTACTTGTTATGTATAATTTTTTGTTTGAATATATTAGAATAAATATATAAATATAATAACATTAATGGTTTCTATTTATAATAATTATATTTCTTAGACACCGGTTTGATAACGGGTTTATAATGGCTTGATAGCGGTTAAACCAATAAAGTGCGAGCCGCTTATAATACCGGTTCATATGGCGGTTCGGTTCTGACAACATTGATAATAACAATGGACTGATTCGAATTTTGGTTAACCGAACCGCAACCTCTAAGTCCCACAGTCCCAGTCCCAGTCCCAGCCCACTATGAGAGAAAAATTGGGCGCTCATAAACAAAATTGTTTCGCCTGAGCTGCTCCCCGTCGCTCGACGGCCAAGAAAACATGCATTCCACCGTTTAGCTACTCCGCCCTTCCCTGCTCCCGTCACTCCACCATCGTTATCTGCCACTCGCTGCAGCATTCCCTGACGGCTTTCCGCCGCCGCCTTCTACTTCTCCTTCCAGGCAATTTCGCTCCCAGCCTCCCGGTCCAAACTTCCGCGCCCCGGTTCATCTCCACCGAACTGGTACGTACGTCCTGGAGCTTGTTTCTTCTCATTTCCCGCTCTCTCTAATTCGATTCGACGAGAACTGGCATAGTAAGTTGTTCTCGCGTCGCGCAATTTGTTTCAGCTACTCTGGAGGCTGTTGAAACTGCGGAGAGCGTTTCGAACTTCGTGGAAGTAGGGTATCTATCCGGTGTCCACGGACTTCACGGAGAGATTTGTGTTGAGCCCACTACGGATTTCCCTGAACTACGATTTTCCAAGGTAATGGCAGCAGCTAATTCGTATAATTGAGAGGATTTCGGGACGTTTTAGTATGTATTTGTATGGTTTTATAGTTTTGGATTGATGGGTGGTTTTTTCAGCCCGGGAGAAGATGGTTGAAGCAATCTGTTAACGGTAAAGAAGTGATTCAAGAAGTTTAGTTGCTTGAAGGGAGGGAAAACCCTGGGAGGAGGAGTTGGGTGCTTACTTGGAGGATTTGAGACAGTTAACGAGGTGAGTCACCGTGTGATGATGGGAATCAGTGGTTCGGTTTTAGGTGATATGAATGAGGAATGGTAATCCATTGTCGATTGCTGAAGTTAGCAATTTGTATGTGTTCTGATGTGTTAATTCCCCTCAACTAGAGATTTTGGGTAATTGGTGCTAATGATAAGAACATGTGGGAACTGTTATGCCTACTGCATTAGTTGACTCCGTTGTTGGCTGAATATGTCTGTTGGTTTTACAGGCGAAGCAACTTATTGGATCAGCTTTGCTAGTCAGAGAAGATGATAGACCTGAGCTCGAGGAAGGGGAATTCTATACTCGTGACCTGGTTGGCATGGGAGTGATTCTCAAGGTTTGTTGTTTAAATGATTTTCCACACCCCAGCATATATGTTCTTGAAGAATGTTAGTTTAGTAACCTTGCCTGTGAATCCCTTGTTTTCTCTCTTTCTTTGTGATCAAGCTATATAGTCAAGCTATTTAACCTGGAGAATTCAGGGCACATCCTGTTTCCCTTGTTCTTTCCCGGTTTCCCCATTTCTGTGTTCACTTTCTTTCTGAGCTATGCCTAGCTTAATCAGTTGACATAGATATCATTGTTACATAGCACCTAAAATTTTCTATTTATTACCTTCCATTCTTATTGGTTCCAGAGCGAACTTTACAAGTTGTTTTAAGTTTTTCTTCTTTTCATATTTGTTACTGATTGTATGGCTTTTAACTTACAAGTACTAAATGACACTTCTGTTCATAGGATACTTCTAAATGTGTGGGAACTGTTGTTGACGTTTTCAACAGTGGGGCATGTGACCTTTTAAGAGTCATGCTTTACTCGTCAACAGATGCAATTGATGTAACTGAAATGCCGGTGGTTGAAGAAGCTGGTGCCTCTGGCCCTCTTGTGTGGTTGCCATTTGTTGAAGCAATTGTTCCAGATGTCGATACGAATAAACGAGGAATGTGGATCACACCCCCAAAAGGACTCCTTGAGCTGAATGTACGCTCAGATGAGAGGTCCAAGAAGGAAAGGCGCCAGCTTGTGAGGCATACTTCTTTGTACTCTGTTTATTTGTCATTGGTTTGGCTGTTAGTTGAGAACTTATTCAGAAGATTTGGAGGGAGAGTAGTGAGCTATGATAACATCACTTGATTATAGTATCCCCCCCCCCCCCCCCCCCCCCCAGATTTATTTCTGTTATGCTCTTATATTCGTTGTTCTAGTTAAGACTTGCAATTCCTAAAGTGGCATTTTCACTTTAACTTTGGTTTCTTCATGATCACCAAGGTGAGGTAAGCATGTAATGTAATAGTAGGCTATTGAAACCTATTTTCATTAAGCAAACAAGTAATATAATTCTCTAGGTGATAGATTTTGTAAACTCTGTGGTTCTTTTTTGCTTCTGCAATTTCACTGTTGAAACCTTATCATGTTATTTTCTCTGCTTAAAGCTTTTTTCCTTACCGGGTGAAACCACCACTGACTCGAGTCTGTGATTTGATGCATTTCAGGAATGGAAAGAAAGAAAAAGGCTCCAGCGACAGCTTATAGCTGCCAAAAAAAAGTTAGTTGACATAGAGCAAAAACATGTATTTGATAGACTCAGATATGGAGAAAAGTCTCAAAGGAGCTTGTTGGCAGATGAAATTGTTGCAGTAAATTCCAATCTCCTTCAGCATGCACTAACAAATATTGGGATGTCATATAACAGGTGATTTTCAGATGAACTACATTATGAGTTGTTGTTACTAAATGTTTTGTGAATATGCAGAGGAGTTTGGGAAAAGTGGCTGGGCTGTAAACCAACTGAACTGAATCAATCTTTAGTGAAGTAATCTATTTTCATGAAGTGTTAAGTCTGTGCTCTTGCTTTCTATGTTCAGTCCTTGTAGTTTATTATGACCCATGCAAGTTCAGGTGTTTTAGTTGGTAATTTATGTGGCAGGATGGTCTTATTTAGAATATTCAGTTTACTTAAAGCTGGCAGGCTAGGCATACCGTTTCTCTTAACTTTGTTCAGCAGTTTTACTATTCCTGAGTACAACTGAATTGGTTGGTGCAACAAGATCCAAGCTAAAGAATGGTTTTCTTAAGATTTCCAAGGATGGGCTTAGTACCATCTTCAGTGTAAATGATTTGGGAGCCAATTTGCGTTTTCATGAAAGTGGATGCCATCTCTTATCTGAAGGAAAAATCGGAATCGTCTTGGTTGTGAACCATCAACTTTTTGACATGAAAGGCAGTAAGACAGAAAATTCACCTTGTACATTACTTACCAAAACACTTTCCGACAGCCAGATGTTTGTAAAGGTAATATCACTTCCTTCCGCTTGTTCATGACCCTGATTAAGAGATTTCACAAGTTGTAACAATTCCTGGAAGATCATGGATCTGTCCCTTTGGTTCTGGTTTGTCCTGAGCAAGAGATCCAGCCTCTGGAAGTACTATTTTCAAGCAACGACTTCTTTGGATTCGACTGCAATAAGGTTTGTATAATGGTATTACTGTCAAGTGTGGGGAGTTATACCAATGAAAATTGTTAAACCTTGAGTTGCAGCTGAGAAGAAGAATACTGCACTCATTTTCTGTGTATTTGATTTGCCTCCATCTGCCTAATTTCAGGTTTCTAACATGAGTTCCCTTTTCAGGTTTGGTTTCTGGAGGAAGAGAAGCTTCCTGTTGTTACAAGTTCTGCAGACGAAAACAGCAGGAATAAAATCTTGGTGAAGTCCCCATGGGAAATGCTAAAGTCACCTGTTGGATCTGGAGGTGCTATTCATTTGCTTTCATCGCAAAACATTCCCAACACCCTCAGTGAAATGGGTGTAAAATATATCGAGGTTAGACATTTTCTTGCCAACTTCACCCATTGTTTTCTCTTATTGACTATCTGGCTCGAAATTCCACTTCTCGTCTATCAGCAATGCATGAAAGGTTCTCGCCTGTGTTGGCATAGCAGCATTTGCAGTTATGAAGCAGTGACTCCATTTCTCTTACCCTTTACTCAGGTTTGCAGCACTACCAAAATGCTCAGCGGCTGGAATCCTCTGTTGGCAGGACTGGTTGATTTACAGGGAGCAGATGTTGGTTTCCAGATCTCTCAGGATTTGAGCCATATGGAAGAGGGTTTCGACTTGATATTTTCGGTGGACTTCGTCAAGTCATTGGCGAAGCAGATGGACAAGCTCCACTTCGAGGCGATCCTGAAGGAAAATCCGCACGTACAGCTGGTTGAGAAAGAGTGGGTTGATATTGTGCCCTCGTCTCCGAACTCGTATGAACTTCGATGTTCAATTTACCGTTGCATAAATGCCTGCTCCCTGGACAAAGTCTGTATCATGGAAACAGTAGAATAGTTTGTTCATAAAGAATCCTGTTTGGGGTCAAAAGGAAATTTGAAATACATAGAACAGCCACCTCTAGTTCCTATGGTTTTTACTCGGTGAGCATTTCAGAAGTGGTCTTATGAAGGCATCTGTACAACAGAGTATACGAAAAACAATTTATGTTGTAAGTTAAAGCTGGTCTTCACTAATAGTTAATCAGATTTCGAACTATAGTTGAGACTTGAGAGGGTGTTTTTTTCTACGAGATGGGCAACCTTTTTTGAAACTTGAATGATATAATGTCATAAGATCTTGTTGCAAGAATCCCAACAAGCATGACTGTATAGGAAGCAATGTTGTCAGAACCGAATCGGAGCATGATCCGGTAATGTAAACGGCTTACACTTTAGTGGTCCAACCGACATTAGACGGTTTAAAAACCGTTAGAGAACCGATACCTAATAAACTTTATCAATATAAATAGTGGACATTTCTTAATCAGAGGTCGTCTCTTTCTTTTGAAATTGTGAAATGGAAATAAGGATTCAGTTTGAGAGCCCGACGTTTTTGGTTTATTTCAATTTTCAATTTTCTTCAATTTTTTTAATTAAATTTAACGGCTGAATGGCAAAAACCGGACCGCTCGTCAACCGCTATATAAAACCGGAGCGACTTAGACTGTTTTGAGTTGGTTTTGTGACTGGGTGGCGGTTTTACTGCTCGGGCAGAACAGCTCGGCTCGGCTTTAATAACACTGGGAAGCACACTCTAAACGACTTGATCGGAATTCCTAACTTCTACTCGTTGTTCGACAAAAGCAATGAGACATAGTTTTCTTTTCCTTCTACTTGTGGATAGACGACATTGGTGAAGCGAGACCTGCAAAACTAACAAACCAAGGTAACGTATGACATATGACGAATACAATACAATCAACAAATAAAATCATTGACTCAGAGACATAAACTTAATGTGTCGTGCTTGGTTGAGAAATTATGCAATAACGAGTCAACGTCTCATAAAATATACATTAAATTTGTGAATTTCCAAAAGTGAATTAAAAATAATATTAAAGAATAAAAAAAATAAAAAATTGAAGCAATTGATGAACATAAAAACTAAAACATAAATAAAAACTAAAACTCAATTAAATGAAGTGATAAATATTGAGCATGCATCACATAATGGGCCAGTCGGCATGCTAGGTCCACCGTTGCTTTTATTTCAGAATAGCCCAATTAGCTTGAACACTGCTAAGGCCCAGCTCATAACGGGCGGCAGATCTCAGAACTTAAACTTCCTCCGGTATTCTCGGCCGTTGATCCGGCCATATGATCTCTCGTTAACCTAAGTTGGACCCTCCACCGGCCGAAAACCCTAATGCCTCCAGCTTATAAATATTGATAGAACTACATCCAACAATTTCTAACACTCCGAACCCTCGGCGGCTAAAGGAATCCCCCTCGGTGAGCTTCATCCTTCATCTTCTTCGATTTGATTTTCCCCTGGTTCAGTATCGCCATCTTGATGTTGTTTTCCAGTATCGATGTGTGCTGATTCATTTGTGTAATTCCGTTTCTGGCTGCAGAAGGTCAAAAAAGAGGTGAGCGAAAATGGCGGTTCCATTGCTGACGAAGAAGATCATCAAGAAGAGGGTCAAGAAGTTCAAGAGGCCCCAGTGTGACAGGAGGATCACCGTGAAGGTATATATACTGTTTCAGTTCTTGTTTGAGGCCTAGGGTTTTGAATGGCTGAGATCTAGTTACTTTCGGAGGTTCTGTAGAGATCCTTCGAGTGGAAAATGATGATTGAACTATTGTCGCCCCAGTCTTACTCGCGTCTTGATATGCGAGGTGGTGATTGACATATCTATCTGATTCTCAGTAGCTTAGTTGAATCGATGTTTTCTTTCTGGGTTCTCTGCGTTTTCTTACATTCGTCTGGTGTTTGAATCTTCATTGTTGTGTGTGTAATTGGGTCTGTGGTGTTTATAATTGAATATGATGGTAGCATCTTGACACCCAGTCTTACTTGCTTCTTCTTGGATGCAATATGGTGAGCTAGAGATTGACTATCTTAGTTCATTGCAGTGACTTAGTTTCTACATTTCATGTCTAGATGGATTTTTAAGAACCCCTTTGATGTTTTTGGTTGAGGGTTCCTCGAGTTTGGGATGTGATGAATATTGTTTGACACCCAGTCTTACTTCCTTGTGGAAACTGGAGAGAAACACAACTATCGACTGATCCTTTATTACAGATTAGCTCTTTCTTCACGTTAAGTGATGTTTTGATTCAGCTGGTTTTGAAAATTTTCATTTTTGGTGTTAATTTTGTAAAGCATATGCAAGGAGATGTGAGGATACCTATCCACCTTTTCTGTTATTGGATGATGAATAAAACATGCACTACCATCTGATCTTTGTTGCATATGTTTCTGTTTTCACATATTGGGATGTTTTCTCCCAGCTTTTCAACCAAGTTTCTCTTTTGATAGTGTTAGTTGAGTCTGCAATCTGTGATGCAAATCTTCCATCAAACACTGATTTATATGTGATGATTCATTTAAATATTCACCATCTTTCGGCTGAGGTTGCAGTTCAACTAAATGCATTTCTTGAATTCGTTTTTCTCTTAGTAAATACAATAGATATTGGCTTTGGAACTGTGGAACTCTTGGTCCATTTTAGTTTTGCCCATGGTATCTGATGTCCAGAGTTTTTATGCGTATCTGGTCATTTCGTTTTTTCCGGGCATAAAGAAATTAGTGGGCAGTTGCGACACGGTTGGCTGGTTTCTTCACAGGCTTTCTGTTACTTATTTTCTGCTCACATGCTGGCATTATGCTATTTAACTCGTTTTACAGAGTTCTCCTGTCATTTACTCTTGGTTTGTTTATTGTTAGGACGTTTACCTTTCATTCTTGTATCATGATACAGTGTTAATCCTTTCTGCTCTTTATTCTTGTAGGAGAACTGGCGTAGGCCAAAGGGTATTGATTCCAGGGTTCGCAGAAAGTTCAAGGGAGTTACCTTGATGCCCAACATTGGTTACGGTTCAGACAAGAAGACTAGGCACTACCTTCCCAATGGCTTCAAGAAGTTCGTTGTCCACAACGTCAAAGAGCTCGAAGTGTTGATGATGCACAACAGGACTTATTGTGCTGAGATTGCACATGATGTGTCGACCAAGAAGAGGAAAGAGATTGTGGAGCGAGCTGCTCAGCTCGATGTTGTTGTCACCAACAAGCTGGCCAGGCTGCGCAGCCAGGAGGATGAATGAACTGGGTTATAATTAGTGGAATCTGAGTTTGTTGAGTTTGTACTTGAGGAGATTTGCTACCGACTTTATTGCTAGTTTCTCTGTATGGGATAGTTTTAATCCGTTACTCTTGGTTGTCAAGGAGGTACACTTTGGAAAGTTGTATGAAGTTTTGGAAATCGTGTTTTTCTATTTTATGGTCAGGTAAATGCATGTCATATGTTAATATATGAAGATTCAGGTATATTTGAGTGGCTAGAGGTAAATAGGTAATGGTGGCCAATTTGTATATAATCCATAAAACCTGCACTATAATAATATTCAATTAAGCTTATTCATTTAACTTCATCAAATTCATTAAATTCAATCTAGTTATTCCAAATTTAATAAATTGTGAATTATGTTTTGGTACTAGATGATACTCAACGTTTTTGTATTGGTCAAATGTTTACATGATCATCTAATTGTTTATATGTTATTTCGATCTATGATTCAATTTATCAATTCATTTAATTCATAAATTCGTTAATCAAATTTACTAATTCATAAATTCAATTCATTTGTCACATTTGTCACATTTATACATGAAAAAGTGTTGTTGAGTGTTGTATCATATTGGGTAAAAAACATGTTTTCTTAGTGTTGTTGAGTGTTGTATCATATTGGGTAAAAATCATGTTTTCTTGTTGAGTAGACAGAGTAGTCTTTTGAAATGTATCTGAAGTAACATTTTGATAAACATGTTTCTTAAAATAAAATTCGTGTGAAAAATATGCGCTGGTTGAACTAAATGGTTAATATATACGTAATACAAGACATGCATACTACATGAATAAAGAAGCTAGGCTTTCATGAAATTTTCCTATTTCATCAGACTGATTATTCAATGTTGATTTGCTTGTTTTTCTTTATGATAATTGAGATATTGGAAGAAATTAATTTGTATCTTTTTACAATGAAGATTTGACTTTACTACCACAAACGATAATGAATATATGAAAGAGAGTAGATGAGAAGGAAAAGCTAGAGTGAAATAGATGTAATATATCTCATTCACTCATAATGCAAGTGGAAAATCTGCAAACAACCTTTCGAAAATTTTGACCTTGTAGAGTGAAATTTTTTATTTGTATTTCACTTGTTGGTTTTTAATCTTGTCAATACGGGAATATGACTTTCATAGTCTGTTTTGAAATCCAATTTATGGTTCCTCCTCTTCCCTACTCTTCTTTGAAGAACTTCTTCCTTAGACAACCAGGCTCGAGGGTTGTGGGAGAGTTTCAATCGACATGTATTCATTAGTGCGAGTTCTGAGGATGACAATTTATTTTTGAAAAAACAAGAAGCTTAAGGTTGATAGAAGGTGAAGGTGGTGACTGCATACTATAACAAACTTCTCCAAACCTAGATCCCTCCACCATCTCAACTACTCCAAGTCTAGATCCCGCTACCCTTATTCCGAATTCGGGTCCATCGAAGACGAAGATTTTGATATAGTCGACAATCATAAACGATCGTCGCTCAAGGATCATCCGTTTAATGCCGCTATGGGTCATCGGGTTGTTTGTATTTCTAACCAGTGGTTGTGCTGATACACCATCGACAAATGACGTGTGTGATAGCGCAGGCTCAACGAGTAATATTATTTATGTCTCAATTCCAATTGTTGTATAGGGTTCAAAATCAGTCCTTCAAACACATAAACATGATATTCTTGGAAGCAATGTCATTGCTCGATATGGTGAGACTAATCGCCTGACTCTCTATATATTTTTTTTATTGTCCTTTGGGCATACTTTAATAGTTAATTTGTTGACGTAGTTGACAGGCTGACAACCCTTTCCTTGGTTCTTCTACTAAAAAATATGGGAGCCTTGTCTTTGTTTTGCTCATTTTTTTTTACATCAATTCTTTCCAGTAAAAATTATTTTGAGTGTAGCCTGTGGAAGGGGTAAAAAATGGAGTATCTTATTTCAAATGTTTCAAATTTACATGGTCAAATTGACGACTAATCTTTGAGATTGATGACTACTTGAAAGATAGAATGGGACGGACTCCGTATTTCCCTGCTATAAGTTCATTGCACTACTGCTTTTTACTAGTGAAAGTGATAATTTTTTTGATTTTTCAGCTTATTAGAATCATAGCCTCATTTATGTGATTATGATGCAAGCACCTGTTTCATGGAATTTTCACGTTCAAAACTAGTGGTATTATCAATAAGTCAAGTATTGTTCGCTTTAATATGCTTGTTATTTGACGACTAATTTTTTAATGCTAATGTTTCCCCCAACTATTCCTAAACAACATCTTATCATATCTCTTAATGAAGGTTTGAGGAAGCTACCATTGTTGCATTGAAGACAGGTTTAGTAGCACTGAACACTTATCTTGCCTCTAACACCTACTTGGTTGGGACTCCACCACTTTTAGCTAGTGCTTAGAAGTTTTTTTTTGTCAAAAGATATCATGTATTGATCGAAAAAATAGATAGTTACACCCTGGAAACCAGTCAGGTATGGAAATCAAAGATGCGACTCATAGTCGGATACAAAGAGAGGGCTTTCCTAGCTACCAAATGAGCTACCCTATTGTTCTCCCGACCTACAAAACGCACACTCAAACCAGGCTGAGTACGAAAATAATGAGCAATCTCTTCCAGAACAGCACCCAACCGGCTATCTCTTGTGTCGGCTTGATTAATTTTGTCAATAATCACCTTTGCATCGCCCTCAAAACGGACCTCCGACAAACCTTGCTCCACACACCAAATAATAGCTTCCCTAAGCACAAACAATTCCACCACTACAGAATCATCCATTTGAGAAAACTGGACCCCTCTAGCCAGAAGGAGAGTCCGCGCTGGGTCAAAAAGAACCATCCCACCAGCCGAATGTGACCCACCCTTAATAGCTCCGCCCCACATGCAAACCAAATGGAAATCACCCACTTGAGTTGGAGATTGCATTATCGGGATTTGTGGCCTAGGTGTCTGGTCCGCTGGTAGACCCACCCATTTCTCATTCTGTTGGTTAAATTGTCGCATGAGCGCCGGGATCCTAAATTTGTGGCCTAGGTGCTTAGAAGTTTAAAAATTGCTTTTATTATAAATGATTTTGATTTTATTGCAAAGCTTACTCTACTGAATGTGGAACGCAAAAATAAAGAATACATATCCGTATGGATACAAAAATCAACAAACAGACTCCTAAGCTGTAAATGTGAAAAAGATTCCACATCCTATGCACCCAAAGCAAAACCCAATATTGAATATAAATTTTTTAACGGGAAAATAAATTTTGACTCAAAATAGACAATTTTTATGCAAGCTGAGGTTGGTATGCTCAATGAGATGTTGCCACGTACTTGATTACAGAGCTCAATATAACTTTTACATTATTCAATTTATGGTATGCATTCTCATGTTTATAGTATGTTTTAGTGTACCAAACATCATATAAACAAGTGAACGGCTATTTGCCGCCAAGCAAATTGCTATTTGCCGCCAACAAAAAAAAAAAAAAAAAAAAATTTGAATTCAAATTTTGAATTTTCCCTCCCTTCCCTTCCTTTCATTCTATAAATTCGGATACCCATGAACATTTGACTCATTCCAACAAAAACTTCTGTTGACGAGCCCAGTGCCTCCGTCGCCGGCACCGTTCTTCCATCGTCGGCTAACCTCCCGTCGCCCTCAATCGTCGGAAAACAAGTAAGTTTATTTTTTCCGGCCAGTTTTCCAGTTTTCCGGCAAGTTTTCCAGTTTTCCGGCGAAAAACAGGGCGGGTCGAAAAAAATTTGCGGCCGGAGCGTCGGCCGGCCGGCCGAAAAATTCTTTCGGCCCGGCGACGCCGCGGCCGCAAATTTTTTTCGGCCGGTCGCCGACCTCGCCGCCCAAAAAATTTCCGGCGGCGTGTTCGTCGGCCGGCCGGCCGAAAATTTCTTTCGGCCCGGCGACGCCGCGGCCGCAAATTTTTTTCGGCCGGCCGACGCTCCAGCCGCAAATTTTTTTCGGCCCGGCGGCGCACCGGCCGCAAAATTCTTTCGGCCCGGCCAGTTTTTGTATTTAATTTAATTTAATACGATAATTAATTAATAAATAAATAAATACTTAATTGGTTAGTAGAAATTAGCGATTAGTGTTAATATTTATTTCAGTTGGTTTATAAATGTTTTTTTTTGTAATAGGCGTTTGAATGTTTAATTACTTAGATTAGTTAATGGAATTTTAATTAATTAAGAATTGATTTAACAATTAATGTTAATATTCAGTACATTAGTTAATAGAAATTTAATTTAATTTCTTTCGGCCCGGCCAGTTTTTGTATTTAATTTAATTTAATACGATAATTAATTAATAAATAAATAAATACTTAATTGGTTAGTAGAAATTAGCAATTAGTGTTAATATTTATTTCAGTTGGTTTATAAATGTTTTTTTTTGTAATAGGCGTTTGAATGTTTAATTACTTAGATTAGTTAATGGAATTTTAATTAATTAAGAATTGATTTAACAATTAATGTTAATATTCAGTACATTAGTTAATAGAAATTTAATTAATTTGTGATTAATTAACAATTGATGTTAATATTACATTAGTTAATAGAAAATCAATTAATTAGTGCGCATCGAAGTATGATATTTTGTAAATTTGTAGATAATTAGATATGGATGATGCGGGTCATGCGGGTGGGGATGAGTTGAATAGATTCAATGGTAGGGTTGTTGATGTATCAGCACGAAGGAAGAATAAGGAGAATAAGCGCTCTCGAGATATTGGACATCAGTCACAGGCAAATTTGCGATCCCATTCCAAAGTGGATGCAAAGGGGGTATAGGAAACTGATTCTGGTTGAAGTACAATCGAATGTAGTGGTTGTTCACATAGTGCAGTGATAAGAACATGGTTGGTGGCAAAGTACCTGGGTCCGCATCAATAGGCAATACAGTATAGGCATCATCGTAGCGGTTGGGTAGTGGACGGTTTCCATTATTGACATCAAACACCTGGTATGTGAAGACCATGACTGCGATGTTGTAGATGGTGGCAAACACGAACAAGTCCTCAGAATCCATCCATCGCCCCGGTGGTGCGTGACCCGCCTCGAGCCAATTGATGCGGTCAATGTGAGCTAGTGGACCACCATTATACAAGTTCTCGTACTTCCAAAAATGTTGTTGGATTTCTTGGACAATCGTCGATCTCATGAGCAGATAGTGACTATCATCCCCATAAATACAATGAGAAAGTGCCCTAAAACCACAATGGCCATCTGGACTAGGGTTGAAATCGCCTACCAGCAAAGGTCGAACAAACTCTGGAAAAAGCTCATCGATGTAAGGGTAAGAATATTGCCCTGGGGGGCTCTGGGATGAGTAATCTACAAAAATATACCAAACAGTCAAAATTACATGGAAAAAATTTACAAACATAAACCAATTACTACTAGATATTAAACCAATTACTCACCTGTATCATGCTCGTCGGATTCACCTCCACTCGATCGGGATCTGCCTCCACTCGATCGAGATCTGCCTCCACTCGATCGGGATCTGCCTCCACTCGATCGCCCCCTACCTCCACTCGAACCAGGCCCAGTACTCCTCGAACGAGACCGCTCATAATATGAACGAATGCGACTGGTGCTTGTTCTAGGGTGTCCTCTCGGATTCTCATTCACTTCCGGTTCCCTCACATTGTCCTCTGCTGGATGAAGCCCATAGAATAGGGCATCTCTTGCTTGTCTCACTGCTTCAGGACCTCTTTCTTCCACCTCAATAGTAAGACGCCTAAAGTGTTCTCGTTGAAGCTCAATTTCATCACTGACTTGTTGTTGACGTGGGGGGTTTTTATAATCCAAAGTCCGCCAAAATACATGCAACTCTTGAGCATAGAATTGACGTCCTTCTTCCTTAGCTTGAACAATCTGGCAAGCACACTTGAGCCCATGTGTCATCTGAAAATGACACGCACAACTGTCCTTCAACTCCGCCGCCCCATCTAACATCAGTTTGATTGCCTCAGAACTAACGACCCTCCTCAAATTGCGGTTCAGTGACTTGTGCAGTTCATTCACCACTTCCAGAAACTGATGTTCCATGTAGTTGTGGTTCTTCGCAAAACAAGTGTCGATCGCTCCTCTACCAGACACAAGGAAAGTCTTGAATGAAGAGTGAGATGACTCAACTCTATTCGAGCTCGTGTTACCAAGATGAAACACATGGTTCGTGTAGCACATTGCCCACATTGTCTGATGAGGCAACCACTCACCTCGCATGTAGTCGACCATTTTTTTGTTCTTCACTGTCCAGACCCTCTCAAACTCATTAATCTTTTGAAGAAAACCCTCCTGAGTCCAACTCCATGCAGCTTTGTCGAAATATTTCTTCCATACCGCATGTGCTACCTCTCTTTTTGCAATTCCACCAAGTAACACTTCAAACTTTTGCTTCACACAGTTGTTGACGTGCCATAAACATAGTAGGTGGACAGTATGTGGGAGAGGGAAGACCACAGGAATAGAAGCAAGCAAACCACCTTCTTTGTCTGTCACAATGACATTCGGAACCGTATCACCGAGCAACCCTTTAATACATCGCAGCAGCCACTCATATGTTTCCTTTGTTTCCTGCTTAATAATTGCACATGCAATGTTGAAATTCTTCTTCACTGGAGTAACCCCAATAATCTCAACCCATGGCCAGCCGTACCTGTTGGTCTTGTAGGTCGAGTCAATGAGGATGACGTACGGCCATGCATGCAACATCTGAATGGACGTCGGGTGCGCAAAAAACAGATTAGTGAGCACATTATTAGAGTCCTTTTGCAAACAGATATGGTACCCACGATGTTCAGCTCCGTGAAGCGCAAACTGTATCGCATCCATTTCACCCATCTCATCCAATCTTGTCTTGGAATTTATGTTGTACATCTGTTTGATATCATGATGCACACCCCCTTCAGTATTGAGTGTCGTCTTCTGCTGATTTGGTCTCACCCCCGCCTTCCTCATTAATCTTAACCTCTCTTTTTCAGCCTCACTAAACTGTTTGTTGTGTCGGTGATGTTCTGGATACAACACCTTTTCATGGTTGTGAAACCCTCTATTAGCTCCGGTTTCACGACTTGTCACTCCCACCATGACCCATGTGTTTGGACCATCCTTTTGCCATACTTCCTTTATACATATCTGAAACTGGCAACCAGTACCCTTCGAACTAATATTCTCACGCGTCTCCTTCGTAGGGTCTGGTTTATAAGACTTAACGATCCTACTACTTCTGTCGCAATACATACAGAGGGCAGTAACAGGATTCTGTCCAGCAGTATTCGGTTTCCATGATCCTCTAACAATAAAGAACCCACACTGCTGAGCGATTGTTCTTGCAGCTAACTCAGCTAACTCCACACTTGCATAATGGATCCCATTCTCAAATTCATGTGTGTAATCATGATCGGCCGGTAACAACTCTGACATTTTTCCTACAATTACAATATAATATATCAATATTCCTGTGAACCTAAACGCTAATTTCAATTCCTAACCGCTAAATTCAACTCCTAAACTCTAAATTCAATTCTTACACGCTAAATTCAACTCCTAAACTCTAAATTCAACTCCTAAAATCGAATTTTTCCGAAAAATTGCAAAAACAGACTGTGAGCCGAAAATTTCCGGTGGCCGGAACCTGGCCGGGCCGAAAATTTCCGGCGGCCGGAACCTGGCCGGGCCGAAAATTTCCGGTGGCTGGAACCTGGCCGGGCCGAAAATTTCCGGTGGCTGGAACCTGGCCGGGCCGAAAATATCTTGCGGCTCAGCCTGGTTCCGGCCGCCGGAAATTTTCGGCTCGGCCAGGTTCCGGCCACCGGAAATTTTCGGCCGCCGGAAATTTTCGGCCCACCGTCTGTTCGTTTCAAATCGTCGGAAAAATTGTTCGAAACTACAAAAAAATTACGCACCTGCTTAGTGATGATTCATTGATGCGTGTACGCAGTATATGTCGAGGATAGGCTTTCCCGATGATTTTCCGGCGACTTTTCCGGCGAGCGTTGAATTTTTCTGATTCAATATGTTCTCTGAAAGTTGGATATGTTGTAGATATGTCAAGAAATCTCATGATGCAAAATCACAAATCTTTAGAATATGTTCGACTGTAGGGAAAAGACAAAGCAAATCACACCAAAAGTACTACAAAACATACCAGAAACACGACAAAACACACCACTAATTTCACAAATCAGATTACAGAAGAAATACTACAAGTATAAATACCAACAACATTGACCAACCAAACCAAAAAAAACAGAGACTTGAATGCCAAGCTTATAATCTGTAGCATTTGCACAACGGCACAATCTTTCGGCGTCGAATGAGTTGAGATTTCAAAATCTGGCGCGAAATTAGTCATCCTGGCCCTTCCGGAAGAAGAGATAGAAGCAAATGTCGATTCCTCGTAAAACGCAGCGTTTTGCTCGAATAGTTCGGCCGGCGGGGATGGCAGGGTAGGTCCGGCGACCACCGGCGACGGAACGGCCGCCCCAATAAGCAAGCGATCCTTTTCCATCTGGCAAAGAATATCTCGCTTTTTTTTTTCCATCGGAAAACAAGAGCTCGAAGAAAAGCCTGTGGAATCTTGTGGTTTTTGCTCTGAGAAAGATGTAATCGCTGAAGAAAGAATCTCCAGCCTTCAGACGACGGAATTGCCTTGAAGTTTAAGCAATAAAGCAAAGAGCTTTACAACGATTTTAGAACGAATTACAAAACCCAACGTAGCAAAAAAAGTTGTGGGGTTCAAACAGTCCTGACAAGCAAAGAACCCAAACCCCTCGATTTATAAAGAATCGGTCATTTGCCGCCATGGAAGGACAGAGAGACAAGAGAGAAAAAAAACAGAGTACTTCGATCTATTCTTGGCTGCTCTCCTCCTCCAGCCTTTTTGCCTTTCCAACCCAAATTTCAGCAATGGCGAACGATCAAATGAAATCCGTGGCATCCTTGCTTTTGGTCCTCAACTTCTGCATGTACGCGGTCGTATTGGGCATCGGCGGATGGGCCATGAACAGAGCCATTGATCATGGCTTCCTCATTGGTAAGTCAATTTTCGATGGAGATGTCTTTTTTTTTTTTGTTTACTTTTTCTGCTAAGCAAAAGCTTGACTGGCGAACTATTGCAGGACCTGGTTTCGAACTTCCGGCTCATTTCTCGCCGATCTACTTCCCGATGGGGAATGCTGCCACGGGATTCTTCGTCACATTTGCTTTGATCGCCGGCGTGGTGGGTGCCGCTTCAGTAATCTCCGGCTTAAACCACATCCGTGCCTGGAATTCTGACAGCTTGCCTGCTGCTGCCTCTGCTGGAACCATTGCCTGGACTCTCACTCTTCTCGCCATGGGGTAAATACTCATATTTTTTTTTTCTCATAAGCTGATTGAAAACCAGAGCTCTCTTTCAGTCAATCATATCTCTATCCTAAACTTGGCATACGATTTACTCCGTTTCTCGCAGTTTCGCCTGCAAGGAAATCGAACTCGAAGTCAGGAACGCCCGTCTGGTGAGGACATTGATAATCAAATATTCTTCCTTCCCTTTGTTTGTAGTCAGTTAGTTCATCTGTTGAGCTTAATTTGTCTCCATTGTTGTTGCAGAGAACCATGGAAGCATTCATGATCATCTTGTCGGCGACGCAATTGCTGTACATAGCAGCCATTCATGGTGCTGCTTCTCTCAGGAGATGAAAATCAATGACAATCTGGAGATGCGTATTAATTAGAGTGTGGTGGTGTGCATTTCTTTCAATTCTTTTGGGAGTGACTGTCAATTTGTTCCTTTCCTTCTTCAGGAATCATTTCAAACTCCCATATGATGTATTCTTTTGCGCAGAGAGTTTCCTACTTTCCATTCTGTTGTGTGATTAATGCTGGTGTGTTTGGAGTTTGCATCAAACAAATAAAAATGAGAATTTGTGCTCCCGTATACCCTTTCACCATTGCTTGCTGCACAATTTTATTGCTACCTTGAAGACGAGGAAAGCTAAGGATCCATAGTCATCTTGGCTAGTATCAGTTGGAACACAATCAAACACGCATTCTATCTAGTTCGGCCAGTTTCGAGTTTATCTGATTTCAAACACCACAAAGCAAAATCTGGCCCCATTCCATTCGATCCAAAAGTTGATTTGGCCAAAATCGACTAATGTGAACCAAAGCTTTGCACAACTCTAGTTGCAGCTGCCTTCTAACGAAGGAGGCAAGTAGCTGATAAAGATGGTACCATTTCCGACGATGAAACAAGCGTCAATGACAATCATATAAACGAACGAAGCAGATACAACAAACACTCTGTTCTATTGACACCACTGAACAATCAGCACACACCCTTGGAGGGAAGACATAGTCTGTATGGTAAAACTAAGCAGTACCTAGCTATTTTTCTAAAACCTTGTAACAAAATGAAAAGCTTCCCTCTATAATATGTTCCTCGTTCTTTATTCAGAAAATTTCATTTACCCTCCTTTTCCCTTTCGCAAAAAGACTTAACTCCTAGCTGGAACAAATCTTCCCAATTGCCTGCCCAAGATTCATCCTGCTTTGTGTCTGCAAGCAAAGTAAATGATTAGAGAATGATCCTCATACTTTAACACTAAAAGCTTTGAATCCGCTGCTTCGATAGTAATAGAATTATCAAATGAAACATGAGACGGTGCCACCCACTCAAGGGAACGCATTTATAGAGGTCGAAGTCTCCAAACTGTTAATTATTCATTTCCTCTCTCAAATCGCTAGAGAGGAGATTCCATAGGATAAAACCTAGCTTAGCATGCAAATTACTGTGTCTGTTCTTGTTTTCTGATTTAGTTCATAAAGCAACAAGAGAGGAAGGTCATGGATTAGTTCATAAATCATCTGGCATGTTTACAACGGCAACATCCAGGATATCCACTCAATGAGACAGAAGAGAGCTAACAGACCATCTATAAAATTCAAGACAGAGGATATAGCGCAACGATTCAACAATAGGCAAATTGGAAATAAGACCCACAACAACCATTGCACAGGAAAACAAATGTGGTGTTGTGATTTAAGTTTACCTGGCATCACCGATTGGGACTGGAAACCGCATCCAATAAGCCACAGCAGCTAAACCAGGAGGTTCGTTGGGCTAAACGTGGAGCATTGTTGGTCACAAGAGGCTGCATAAAGAAAAAAGATGCAGAGCAAAAACTAATAATCACCAATCCCCTCGTGCCACATAAAAGAAACAAACTTGACGTTTTGATAAGACTGGGCATACCTGTTTCTCGATTGATTCAGAAATCTTGGTGTCTTTAGCATAGACCGCATCAACACCGGTTTCAGTAGAAGCATCCTGATGAATACTGGTTTCAGTAGCAGAACCTAATGATGTTGTTGTTTTATCTTCTCTCACAGTTTTACTAGTCACAATCACCTCAACATTCTGATCTGATGTAGGGAAAACTTCTTGATTTTTACCAGAATCCGAAGGCAATAGCACTTCATTAGACTGATAAGATGTGGGCAATTTCACCTCATGATCTTTCACTATCTCAATAACCTCAGGATTCACAACTTCAGCAGCTTCCATCTCAGCGATAACTTCGTTGGGCGGTTGCTGTTGTGTTTCAGAAACTTGTATCACCACTTCTTTATGCTTATCCTGAACTGTTGAGGATTCATCATCAGAAGAACTGCTGCTGCTAGTTGAGCTTCTGTCACCATCAGAGGACTTTCCAGAATCTATGTGCTCAATGGTAACCTCACGGCTCTTAACTTCCTGATCAGAAGACTTCTCATCTCCCTCCCTCTTAATCACTACATCATCATGGTGTCCAGATTCATCACTTGGTCCAGCTTTTCCATTTGGATTCTCTGCAATTTGGTTCTCAGCAGCTATCCCAGTTTTTTCGGGTAATCCATTGCCCTCCCTGAATGTATCCTGATGATGAGGGTTCCCTTCTGATCCTGGGGAATTCAACTCAGAGATATCACTGTCCCTCTCATCTTCAACTTTTTGATCACCGTTTGCTGCATTCATTTGAATTGAGAAGATAAGAAATTAGGAGCAACAAAGGACTTTCAAAGTATGGTTATCCTGAAGTAATAGTACTCATAATTGATACACGGGCAAGGGAGAAAGAAACGGTGAATCGGATTCAAGAACATGAACCCTCTATTCAGATCACACAGATAAAAAGACAATGCCAAAAACTAGGTCATAGTTTCCTAGTACAAGCAATGAGTGACAAATCAAAGTTATTTTAAACGGACGCATCACAGCCAAGCACTTAAAATCACCAGCAAGTCCCAATAGTATTGGGTTATATGCAACAGACGGAGTGTACTTCACACAAGGAAATCAGACATAAAGCACCCCTATAAAATGGAGATAAATATCAAGATGATTGACCTATACGCTAACAGAGAACATCAAGAATGGCCGGAAATCAAGGACCGGAGAGTTACCCACATCCCTCCAGTAGAGATTCAGTATTAAGATCTAGCACGATAGCAACTTTTCAACTACCCACTTATCCTAATAAAAAACCCTCGCCAAAACCACCCAAGACAACCCAATCAAACCAAGTCAAAGGAAGCTGCTAGCAAATACCCATCTTCCCGGAATTGAACAGAAACCCGGTGAGCCCAAAAAAGCACAACAATCCCAGAGCAATGGCGGCTAAGGAACCCAGAACCCGCTCATCCCCCGCCACGAACAACTAACAGAGAGAATGGCCGACATATAAAGGCCAGCGACGGAAAGTATGATTGGATGACGGATAATCAAGGCGTGGAAAGGGGAGTGATTGATTGGTTCCTCCTTCCCAACCCCAACACAAGGGCATGGATCGAAATTTAGTAGATCTTTTTGCTGGAATAAAATAGAGAGAAAGGGTAGTAAAACCAGGGCTGACCTTGTGGGTTGTTCCCATTGGGATGGTGGTGGTAGGCCTGCTGTTCCTTCTTTTTCTTAGCAGCTTTTCTCTTCTTCGCACCTGATGGCATGATTGATTGTCACTCAAAAATCGAAAAAACCACCTCCCTAGTATTCTTCTAAGAGGAATAAAACCAAACAGATCGTGGGCGTTGTTGTCGTCCCCTCCCTCGAACGTCCCCACAGCCAGCTCCTCCTCCTCCAAATCTCAAACCCCACTCGCTAGATGCCTTTTCTCTCTCACACTCTCACTAATCTAGCCGCCACCCACAAAGACAAAGAGCCTCGCAATTCCAGCTAATCGTGACAGTGAAGCAGAGCAGGGTAAGGAAAAAACCCAACAGAAAAAGACTATATCCTTGTTTATAGTCCCCAGAGAAACGTGATTCGGTGAAAGAAGAGGGAGAATCTGGATTTGTAGCGATGTGGGAATCGGGGTGGAGAGAGGACGGAAACCGGTGGAATAGGACGGAAGGGCGAGTTAATTAAAGAGCAAGTGGCGGAGAAGGGGAGAGCGTGTGCGGTCTGCGGGGGAAACCGAGTGTGAGTGGGTTTTATGGCAGTGAAATTACTGCTTCAGCGGGAAGAAGAAGGAAAGGAAAAGAAAGGACTAAGGAAGTCATTGGGGGAGGATTTCTATTTTACACAAATATTGTGTTTTTTTTTAATTGCAACAAATATTGCGGATTAAAAAGAATTGATACAAATATTGTGTTTTTTAGTAAAATTTGGGGTGGGACCACCAGAGACTCAGGCGGGGCTGCTGTTTTACCCAATTCTGGGCGCTGGCGCACCAGTCTCAAGCGACCCCGCCTCACCTATTTTTTTGACCCAGTCCTAGGCGCTGGCGCCCGAGTCTCCAGCGGTCGCGCCCCACCCTTCTTTTTTTTTTTAATTGGCGAACCCTCGGGCCCCTCCCACCGTATCTCCTCTTCTTCACTCCTCCACACCACACACCCCCCCCCACCCCCCGAACCAGAGAAGCCTACCAGCCGCCCAGGACTAAGGCGTCGACGCCGCAGAGTCAGGCGTCGCCGCTGCCGAGTGGAGCGCCGCCGCTGGAGAGTGAAGCGCCGCCGCTGCTGACAGAAGCGCCACCGCCCGAGATGTCCTTCGACGAAGAACCAGTCGCCGCCGGCAGAGGCAGGGGGAGAGGCCGGCGAGGTCGTGGTGGAGTCGGCGGCCGTTTGCGTGGTGAGACTCTCGTCGGCGGCTTGATTTTTTTTTCATAATGTTTTGTTGCTTTGTTTTTGCAGTTCCTAGGCTTATGGATCCTTATTCGATGAGATTACCGCTGACGACAATTGATCCAGGTCCGGTCGATCTGACACTTCTTTGGGGACATGGCCAACATTGTATCGACTCTGTTTGGACACACGAGGTAAGTATTTGATAATTATTCATGTAAAATTAATTAGCTAATTAGATTATTTTAGTTGGTGAACTGAACTGTTAGGTGAAATTAGTATAATTTGAAATTAGTATAATTTTATATTAGATAAGACAGATTATAATTTATTAGGTGAAATTAGAATTATTACGAATGAAAATGAATTAATATAAGTTTTGTGTACTATAGGCTGGTGATTGATCTTACCATGTTCGAGGTACGACCATTTTAGTACCTTACCATGAGCTTTATCGGCCATATCTCGAAGAGGCAGGCTTGTTAAGTGTCGTGCCCCTAGTCCCTATGAACCCCGATGCGAGTTTGATTACTGCACTCGTAGAGCAGTGGCGACTCGAGACGTCGACCTTCCATCTACCGTGTGGTGAGATCACGATCACGTTAGAGGACGTTGTTACACTGTCCGGTCTGGCGATAGACGGTGATGCCGTCGTAGTTGATATACCGGATGAGGAGTGGTTGGCGATCTGTTTGAGATTGTTAGGACGGGTTCCGACTGATCTTGTAGGCGGTGTCGCTGTTGTTAGGATTGTTTGGCTGAGGGTTAAATTCAGTCATCTGCCGGAAAATGCATCACAGGAGGTTATAGAGCAGTTTGCACGAGCTTATGCTCTATCTCTGATTGGAGGTGTACTTTTCCCGGATCGGTCTGGAGCTACGGTGCACCTACAGTACCTACTTCTGATTGAGCATTGGCAGAGAGCTGGAAGGTTCGCTTGGGGAGCTGCTGTTTTATCCTACCTGTACCGTGAGATGCGTAGGTCGACTTTGCACATTACGCATACCGGCACTTCTCTTAGCGGTGACCTTGGTGGATGGGTCGCCCTACTGCAGTTCTGAGCGTGGGAGCGATTCCCACATCTGGCACCTCGAGATTCAGAGACGAGGGCACAGGCCACCGAGGATGCATCCCCACGTGGTCTTCGATGGCTTTCGGCCAACAGTCGTCAGTATGGTGACCAGCTATTCCAGTACAAGTTGTGGTTTGACGCGATGGACACCGTGGTGGTTAGTATATAACATTCCATTTTATAGAATAGTTTTCATTTGTTTTATTTTTTTAGATTTAGGGATAATAACGTTAATTTTTTTTTATGTAGTGGCAACCTTACCTTGAGAGAGCACTTCATCTCAGAGGTATTGTGATACAGTCTGAGACATTTCGAGCAGTAGTGCCACTTATCTACTTTTCATCGGTGATGTGGCATCATCCAGACCGCGTGCTTCGGCACTTTGCCATGAGGCAGTATGAGCCTCATCCGCCACATCCTGAGGCTGAGGTTAGGTTTTTTCTTCGCCAGGCTACTCGTGGGCCATCGCGTGGGCAGCAGTTGGTACACGCCTCCAGAGAGTCGCTTGCTTTCTGGAACCGTCGACACGAGTTTGTAGCGACGACTCCATACACTGATGAGGAGTTAGCCTACCACTCGGAGCATATGGAGTGGTATAGAGATGTCACCAGACGTTCCGGCACATGGAGAGGAGCTGCAGCGGAGGCATTGGTTAGTTATTTGATTTGTTTGCTTAATTTGTTGTTAACTGTGTGAAATATCTGACATTTTGTTAGTGTTTTTTAGTACGACACTATCGAGCATGCTGAGGTGAGTTTGCGTGACGGTGTACGGGCTGGAGGGCTGACCCCCGACTAGTGTGAGGACTTGGCCAACCTTATGGCATTCGGGGTTGCTACTCTAGGGTGAGCAGCGTAGATACCATGATCTCACAGTACCTGTACAGCCCCATTATGAGTAGCCCGTCATGACTGCCTGGCCAGAGCGTACTGATCTGACACCCGGCTGGGTCGTCCCAGAGCCACAGTTCAGACAGGAGCATAGGCCACGTAGACAGCGACGTGAGCATCGTGATGCACCTAACCCATTTCGGGTTTCAGATCGACAGTGAGAACAGCCCATCCGGCCTACATCGAGGAGCTTCCAGTTTAATTCGCTTCGGTCGCAGTTTTAGTCAGATCCTTCCTCGAGCTTTCAGCCGCCGCAACAGCAGCAGTTTCAGTCAGATCCGTCTTCGAGCTTTCAGCCGCCGCGACGGCAGCAGTTTTAGTCAGATCCGTCTTCGAGCTTCTATCAGCCAGAGGATAGCTTCCATACACCGCAGCATGCTACGATGGGAAACATGGCCTCATGTGGTGATACTAGAGCAGCCTCGTCTCCCGACCTGTGGGGAAACCTAGATGAGCATGAGGCGTTTCGGGAGACGATGTGGAATTATGAGCAGCATGTTCAGTCTCAGCAGCATGGTGGCGGTCAGCCTGAGGAGCATCTTCAGTCTCAGCAGGATGATATGTTCGGTACACAGGATCAGGATGGTGGTGTTGAGGAAGATGAGCCCCAGGAGTATGATGGTAGACCTCTGCGTAACAGGGTGCCTGCGAGGTGTGGTACTGGCGGCCATCTAGCGGTGGAGCATGGTGGTCGTCGTGGTGGTCGTCAGTGAGACTATTATTTTTGGATTGTTATTATTATGTACTTCCTTATTTTTGGATTGTTATTATTATGTACTTCCTTTAGACTATTATTATTATGTACTTCATTTAGACTATTATTTTTGGATTATTATTATTATTAACGATAAAAAACATAACAACTACATGGTAAATCAAAAGAAATACAACAACTTCTACCACCTCTCAGCCACGTCTATTACCTCTACTTCCTCTTCTACCACCTCTCGCACTTCGTTGGCCACCACTCCCTCCTCGGTTGCTCCCACTCCCACTAGCTTTGCCACCGCAGGTTGATGCATTATGTCCCGCTTGGTTACAGTTGCTACACACTTGGTGTGATGCACCCTCCCTTGGCCAGTCCATCTCGTTGTGAATCCTTGTAACTCATGGCCTCCCCGGCTTCCTAATCATGTGCACATTAGGATGGAGAATAGGACCATTATGCTTCTTCCAACCCTTAGGTTCACCAAGAGGTGCGAAACTTGTCCTATAACAAGCCATCACTGTTTTCAGCTTGTAGACATTGTTGACAAACCTATACGCATTAGCCCCCATTCGGTTGCAAGCTGCAATGGCATGAGAGCAAGGAATTTATTTCCTTGAAATTTACCACAAGTGCAAAATCCCGCCCGGTTTTGATTGTCAAAGTGAACTGTGAGTGTGTTTGACCCCGTCATGTTGAAATTGTTGGGAGGAGTCTGAACTACATAGATGGCTTGACGTCGATCAAGAGCTGTCACAGAATGTCCAATTGCCTTTTGTGACCACGGCTTCATCAGCTCTTCGCACTTGGTGGAGTACTGTGAACCGCCACTTCTAATTTCTGCTCCTGTCTCCAACCTGTACTTATCGAATTTCTCCACCAATCGCCAATAGGTATGTTGCACAAGAGAAGCTATAGGAAGTGCACGAATACCTTTGAAAATACCATTGACGCTTTCTGCCATGTTGGATGTCAGGATAGACCAACAACGCCCACCATTGTAGTTATCATGTGCTAAACTCCAACGAATCTGATGTTGATCCACCCAGTTATCACATGAAATATTTCTATCAGCGGCCACCTTCTTAAATTGCTCAACTTGACGATCAACTTCTCCAACCGTTTTTCTCCGGCTAACAAAATAAACCACCACACGGGTTAGATAAATTCATGACAAAATTACATGAAAACAAATAATAAAATTAAATGAAGAAAGCTTACCGACTCGAAATAGTTGATTATACATAATTTTGCTTTTAGTCTTCCTTTGCAAATTGCTTGCATAGTGTCGCATGCACCACCTCCACTCCCAACCTCTTCCGATGTTATTCATGGCTTCATAGAGTCCTGCATGTCTATCTGAGATGATGCATACATCATTTCGATCAGTCAGACCCTGAACGTTCCTCATGAACCATGGCCAACTCTCAGTATTCTCGCTCTCCACTATGGCAAATGCAATTGGAAAAATCTTCTTCCGGTCATGAAATGAGCTAGCCATGAGTAGCACTCATTTATACTTCCCAGTAAGAAATGTTCCATCAACAACCATGATGCCTGGACAATTCTTGAATCCATCTATACAAGGTCCATAAGCCCAGAATACTCGCTGAAATATTGAATGACCTGGTTGAGTCGAAGGAACTCTTACCCAATCAATCACCGATGTTGGCATTTTTCTCTTGACCACCCGCAAGAATGTTTGCAAAAAATCGTAGGATTCTTCCCAATTTCCATGCAACTTCTCCAATGCTCTTTGTTTCCCATACCAAGCCTTCTTGTAAGTAACTTGCATATTAAACTTATCTTTCAACTCGGCCCGAACAGTTAGAACACTCAGATTTGGTTGGGCACGTACCAAATGTTTGACGGCCTCAGATATCATGTCGACATCAAGATAGCGATGATCCGTCGGTTGAGTCGTAATGCTACAAGAATGCACCAACTCAGCCTTTCTCACAGTCCATTCGCCCCCAACATCTCGACATCCAAACCGCACCATCCAAGGACAATTGTCATCCTTGTGCCTCAAGCATCTGACCTTCCAGATTGAAGGTGACGACTCCACCACGCCATATTGAAAGTTGCGTTGTAGTGTGTGGTGTTTAATCGCCATCTATGCAGCTTGTTTCGAGTGAAATATCTGCCCCTTGTAGAATTCTCCTTCAAAACTATCAACAATAGTCAATAGGCATTGGAATCACGCCATATGAATCAGCAAGTGATAATTCTTCGTCCTCTTCATTACCCTGCAAGTAAAAATATGGAGGATAATTAAGCTGCTCTCCTTCCTCCTTCCTCCTCCTCCTCCTCCTCCTCCTCATCTTCCTCCTCTCCGTCATCACCGTCATCATAGTCATGATCGGATGGCACGCTCCATGTATCATCTTCTTCCTCTCCACCCTGATCCTCACTGAGCTCAACATGTATCTCAGCACCCAAACAATAAGGATTTTGTGTCATAAAATTCCAAAGCACATTCAACCTATCATCATCCACAATAGGTATCGCATAATGAAATAAAACACCATTCTGCCATTCTGGAAGACGGTAAGTGAAACCTGTGATCACATCACTATCTTTTACTGCTTCGTCTCTGCGCCGTATTCTCGGAATTAGATTCTCACAAAGTTTGTGATATGTGACCCTGGATGGAACCGTCAACTGAAAACTACTACCACCAACGAATTTGACGCCCAAATTATCCTCTACTTTCTCCGATTTCCACCGAACAACTAGTTCAAATCTTCTAAAATCACTACAAAAAAAATAAACCCACTAATTAAAACTAAACACAATCATAATAGCATTTAAATAATATAATTACAAAAATAAATGGGGTTAAAGACACATTTGGTGACTGAGATTACTAAATCGGGACATATTTAGTCACTAGAAAAAATTAATATCAATTTTAGTCACTCGAATTACTTAAACAGGTCACATTTAGTCACTCTTCGTTAGTCTTCGTCCAACTCCATTAATGAAGTCTGTTAAGTGCTGATGTGGCAAACATAATTGCCTAATTAGCGTCATTTTGGGCAGGAAATCCTGACCCGCCACGTCACTAAACCCACCATGTCATACAACCAACCCATTAACCCTACCCACTAACCCAACCCTAGCCCACTTTAACAAAACAAATTTGGAAAACCCTAGCTCCAACTCGTTCTCCTCTTCTTCACCGCCGCTTCCCCAATGAAACAAAAGCTTCTCATCATCAAACTCTCCTCTCTGCTTAATCAAGCTGAGCATACCAAACCTCCTGAATCTTCACATCCTTGAGGCGCCCAAATCGGTGTTCGACGGCTGAACGCTCTCAAAAACCCCAATCACCTCCCCTGTCTCCGGCTTGCTCTTGGTCACGGTCAATGTAATCTTCCCCTTCGACGCCGCCGCGTTCTTGACATTCTCCTTCGCCAGCTCTTCCTCATCCCCTCTCCCGCCGGGGGCAGCGCCACCGCGTTGTCATAACCCTGGGACCCGCCTCTGCCCTTTGGGTCCAAGAATGACGACCCTCTGTACCTGGGAACCAAAAACTCGTCGCTGAATCTCTCCGGTTTTCCAGAAGCAACGAGTTGCTTCACCGTGAAGAGGAAAGGGACCCTCTCGCCTCCGGGGAGCTGGACGGTGACGGCAGCGTATTCGATGCCATCTTTCTCATCGAATTTCATGATGTCGTCTGGGGAGACCTCGAAGGGGCCTTCTCATCGTGATGATCTTGCAACTGTTACTGATGTTGTTTCATTGGGGAAGACGTCGGTGAAGAGGAGGAGAATGAGTTGGAGCTTTTCCAATTTTGTTTTGTTAAGTAGGCTAGAGTTGGGTTGGTGGGTATGGTTAATGGGTTGTGTGTATGACATGGCTGGTTTAGTGACGTGGTAGGTCGGGTTTGACCATTTTCGGCCCAAAACGGCGCTGACTAGGCGCTCTCGTTAGCCACGTCAGCACATAACGAACTTTATTAACGGAGTTAGACAGAGAGTGACTAAATGTGACCTATTTCAGCAATTCGAGTGACTAAAATTGATATTAATTTTTTCTAGTGCTAAACATGTCCCAATTTAGTAATCTCAGTGACCAAATGTGTCTTTATGTCTCTTACCTATTAGCCACTTTTGCAGCAGCAACCAGAGCTCTCTCCTATATTTTGGACGATTTTTTTTGTGGTGTGAATCTGAAACGAAATTGTCTGGGTTGTATAAGGTGGGTGGCCAGCAATAAGCCAGCGGTGCCACCTCAGTCTCGGGCGCCACCGCCTGGGATGATTTCCCACCTACTCGCCTAGGTCTCAGGCGGTGCCGCCTGAGTCTTGGGCGCCGCCGCTGTCAAATAAATAAAACGGTCCAAAAAACAAGCTAAAGCGGCAACGCCTGAGTCTTAGGTGGTCTCACCAATTCTTTTCTCCAAAACATAATATCTGTGTCAATACTTTTTAATCGGCCATATTGGTGGTAAATTAAAAAAAAAACAATATTTGTGTCATTGTCCCTCAATTCGATTTCAATCACTAAAATTTATTGTTAAAAAATTAATTAATTTATTTGTCTTTTTTAGAAAAAGTATGATAAGGATTGAAGGAAAATAAGAAAGAGTTGAGGGTTGAATTTAGCGAGTGGCTTGAAGTTTGCCATTTATTTATGTATCTTTTTGAGAGAGTGAGAGTGTGTGATTCATGAGATAAGTGTGTTGTGTTAATTGATTGTGTTTGTTTGTGTTTTGAATAACAACGATTGATAATGCTAATGATGAGGTGTTATGATTAGGACATCTTCGTTTAGGATTGGATGGAACTGTGGAGAAGGGGTGGTCGCCGTGATATAAACTCGATGCTCAATTTAATGTGATAAATGAGACTTAGTATGTAAAAAGGGAGAATAGAGTTTAGAGAGGACTGTGAGTGGTGAATGCGGGAAGGGAAGAGAGTTTCCAAATTTGAGTGTCATTTTATATAAGTCTGGCCTTAGTTGGTGCAATGAGTTAGATGCCTCAGGCAAGACATTACCTTAGACTAAGTTGGAGGCCTGAGGTGAGGTGTCTCGTGAACTGAATGTCTCAGGCGAGGTGCCTTATAATAGTCTTGAACTCATTTGATTGTGGAGCATTATAGTCGAGTTGTATATTATAAAGATATTTTTTTCATTTATTTAAGGCAAAATACATTTGTATAGCCAAAACTTTCGCGTTTGTGCCAATAATAGCCAAATTTGGAGAAATACCAAAAATAGCCACTTCCGTCCAATTCTTTGACGGTGTCAAGTAACGGGCTGAGCTTGACTAACGGAACGCTGAGCTAGACACTCTCCACATCCACGTGGTTGAACTAAAAAAATTAAAAATTAAAAATTTGGAAAGCTTCGTTTCACCAGAGATAAAAATAAAATTAAACTATTGAGTCTTTTATTATTTTCTCTCACAACTCTCTTCCTAGTTTCCACCCCTCTCTTGTACTTCCCATTCGACAGATCCAACACCACCACAACCGCCGCCGCCGCTTCCGATTTCCCTCCTCCACTACTTCCTCCTCCCCCTCCGCCTCATCTTTCGCCTTCCAATCCTTGCTCCGACGACCGCATACATAGCAACCGCACGCTAGACAAACCTAGATTCGTAGGAATTTTCCATCTACCGACGAATGCTAATCTGCAGATGAGCCCAAATCCTTCGAAATCTGACCTTCGCTCGACATTCGTCCCTCATGTAGCTGTGATTCTTACTCGATGTCGCCACTTGAATCGCTTTCACCTCGACTGGGTTGGTGTTCTTCTTGTCCATTTTTCCATCTCACTTTGACAAATACCCTTCTTTACCTTCCTTGCTTCGTCTTTTGACCTTCTTCTCTCTTCTCCCTCTCCAATCACTCGCTCTCTCTCACTAAAACTAGAGGTCAGAGCTCTGCCTCCACCCTCTAATGGCGGTTTCCTAACCCTATCCCCCTCACTCAATCCCTCTTTCTCCCCTCGCCGAACCAAGGCCACAAAACCCACAAATACCCATCTCCCAGAAATTCGATGCAGACCAAGAAGAAACCCCACCATTTCTCCCTTCTCCCTCTCCTCCTCTCCTTCCTCTCCCTCCACGCCGCCGCGGTGGCGGTGGCCAAAGACGGTCGGAGTCTAATCAGCTTCAAAGCCGCCTTACCCAACCCACCGCCTCTACTATCAAACTGGCTCCCCAATAAGGACCCTTGCTCCTTCAATGGCGTCAAATGCCAAGGCCTCGCCGCCAACAGAGTCTCCGCCGTGGACCTCAGCTTCTCTCCCCTAAGCGCCAATTTCCATACCGTAGCGAAATTTCTCCTCTCGATTGACTCCCTCGAGAGCCTGACCCTTCAATCGGCCAACGTCTCGCGGTCCATAGCGTTTCCTCCCGGATCTAAGTGTAGCTCTGTTTTGACCAACTTAGATCTATCAACGAATTCTCTGTCGGGTCCCGTTTCAGATGTTTCGGGTTTGGCCGCGTGCCCCGGTTTGAAGTCCCTTAATCTCTCCGGCAACGCTCTGGATTTCTCGCTGAAGGAGAAGTGGAACGGCGGGTTGAAGATTGTTGCGGGTTTGGAGTCGCTTGATCTTTCGTGGAACGACATGTTTGACGAATTCTCTAGAAGGGGTCGTTGTCGACGATGGATAAGTGGTGCTCTGTTTTTCATAAATGGTCTGTAGATGGGGGATTGCTAGATCGGAGAAAGAGGATTGAAAGGAAGGGGGGAGATAGAGCCCCAATTAGTCGAACCCAAAAAGATGGAGAAGAGGAAAATAGAATTATTTTTTATTTCATAATTAATTATTTTTATAATTCAAAATGAATATAAATAACTGAATCAAGCTAGAAGAAAAAAATTAATTATTTTATTTTTTTAATTTTAAATCAAAATAACACGTGGCATCTACGTGTCAGCAACAACTGAGTCGTCGCAGATGTGTGCGATGATTTGGCATCCTAGTCAGCCTAATGTTTACCTATTTGACGGAGTTTCTAACACCGTTAAAGTTTGTAACAGAAATGGCTATATTTGGCACGAAAGTTTCGAAATTCTGGCTATAAGTGATATTTCTCCAAATTTGGCTCTTATTGGCACAAATGCGAAAGTTTTGCCTATACAAATGTATTTTGCCTTTATTTAATTCTGAAGACTCAGATTAGATTAGAGAGTGATGTCTGGATAATGACTAATGAGTAATTGTTGTAAGATGTAGCATGGGGGAAAAGAGAAAGTTAAAGAAAAGGCTTACATTATTCTTTCTTAAGACATATTTTGTTTGTTTATTTATTTTTATCGGCGTAATGAGGAGTTGGTTATTGGATGACATCTGAGTTTGAATTTTGAATCCGAAAGGAGTTGTTTAACAAAATTTAGCATCTGGTACATTCTCCGCCATAAAACATAGTTAGCAGAAGACACGTATGCTCATCTTCATCATTTGTTATAATGGTTTTGGTGATGAGGAGTGTAGTGACGAGTGAATCTATAAATTTTTTTTCTTTCCAATCTCTTTCTATTATGTCGGCAAGGAGATCTTAAAAAGTTTTGTTATGATCTATGAATACCAATAGCGATTATGATGGATGATTTCACTTTTAATTTGTTTGGTCTTTAATAGACCGTGTGTGTTTACCCTATGTTTGGTCTTTTAATTTGTTATGGCTACCTGGAAAACTAACTGCCTCTCTTTGGCCTCTCGGTTAACCATGGTGAGATCAGTTACCATGGTGAGATCAGTTGCTTCTTCGATGGCTGTTTATCCTATGTTTTCATAATTATTGCCTGTGTCTGTTTGCAATGATTTGGACAGGATTAACAGGAAGTTTATTTGGGGGAAGAAGAGGGGAAATCCAAATTTCACCCAGTGGCTTGGGAGAAGATGACCATCCCCAGAGTTCAGGGAGGAGTTGGGATTAGGCCTACACGACATGCTAATCGGGCGATGTTGGCCAAAGCCAGCTGGAAATTAATAACTAAAGAAGACTCTCTCTAGACCAAGTTGCTCCTGGACAAGTATGGTGGAAACAAGGAGGGGATCAACATCCTTCAGAATAAAAAGGGAAGCTCTCTCGCCTGGAGAAGCTTTATTTCCACTGCCAATGTGCTAAAGAAAGGCTTAGCCATGAATGTTAAAAATGGAAAACGCACTAATTTCTGGCTTGACCCCTGGATTATGCAGGTTCCCCTGATTGAACTCGCTACTGCCGACGTGCCGGAAGATCAAAAGCTATTCCGAGTTGCTGATATGTGGGATCCTGACCATGGCTGGAAGATTGAAGACTTTCAACACCTCCTGCCGGACCAGATCATGGACAAAATTAGAGCTGCGACAGTTGACCCTCTTGCTGCTGAGGAAGACCGTCCTTTTTGGAATCTTACAGAGAATGGGCACTTTACTGTTAAATCAGCCTACAAAGCTAATCAACACTCTCAAGTGCAGCAACCAGATCCTGTTTGGAAGCGTATCTGGAAACTTCAAGTGCCAGAGCGGGTTCGTGTTTTCATTCGGATGGTGGTGCAGGGAAAGCTCACTACCAACAGCATCAGGAAGGAACGACACCTTATCCACGACGATTCCTGCCCGGACTGCTCTGGTATCCCGGAAACAAATCTGCATTGCCTTCGGGACTGCAAGAAGGCCAAAGCTGTGTGGGACAAAAATCTTGATCAACAACGTATGAGTTTGTTTTATAGCATGCCTCATCAAGAATGGATTAAAACCAATGTTATGGATGATTCTATCGGGAACTGGCCGGGGAGGTGGAGTAGTTTCTTCAGCTTGATCCTTTGGTATCTATGGAAGTGCAGGAATGAAGGAATTTTCAAAGGTATCAAATTAACTACTTCTTCCCTTCACCATTACGTTACTGCAAAAGCAACCGAGTGGGCTAGAACTTGGGAATCGGCTAAGCAGAAGTTGATCACAAAGTCTTCTCATCATAAGGTGGATACCATGATTGGCTGGTCAAAGCCGCCGGCGGGATGGCACAAATTAAATACTGATGGAGCTGCTCAGAGTAACCCGGGCTGCGCTACAGGAGGAGCCCTTCGGGATCACAACGGTGATTGGATTGGTGGATTCCTCAGCAAAATCGGTTCGGGTACAACTTTGCTTGCTGAGCTATGGGGTATTCTGAAAGGTCTGGAGCTTGCTTGGAAAAAAGGGACACGCTTTCTCATCCTTGAGTCTGATTCTCAGCTTGCTTTACATCTGATTGAGAAGAGAACTGATAGTGTCCATCCTTATGCCACGATCCTCGGTACCATTCGCCGTCTTTTGGCCAAGGAATGGGTGGTTCGTTTAGTTCATACATACCGTGAAGGGAATAGAGTCGCGGACTGGCTCTCGAAGCACAGTCTTGTTTATCCCTTTGGTACGTATGAATTGGACGACCCCCCTTTAGAGCTTGAAAGGATCTGCCGGGAAGATATCCTTGGAGTGAGCTTCCCTCGTCGAGTACCTCAGAACAGCGGTCCTTGATCTTGTTGCTGGTTTGATTTTTTTTGATCGCCTTGGCTGGTTTTCTTTGTTTTTGCCTCTGTTGCTGATTGGGTAGCCCTTGTGCTCCTGTAATCTGGCGGTTTGCCTCCCTCTAAATAAAAAAAAGAAAAATAGACCGTGTGTGTGGCTAATCTGTATGCAATTATGGACAACTCACCGCAAGTCCGTAACACGTCGCAGGAAGTGAACGCGCCATAAATCGACATTGTTCGTAGGCATACGGCCCATATCGACTGGGTTTACAGCTTCTGAGAGTGTCTGTCTTGGGCCTGCGCGAAGGCCCAACATTGAATTTGGATCTCGTACTATCACAGGCTTAGGAATGGACCTGGCTCAACTCATACGTGAGTGAAAATTGGACATCTTTTTTTTTTTTGTTGAATGGGCATTTTTTTTTTTTGCATCTCAATTTTTGTTTCTACTTTCTAATAGCGGCTTCATTTCAAGCTCCAGTTCATCGCCTTTCGTGTTTCTTCAAACCCTCTGCTCACCAAGTTCAAAGCCATTAGATCTGACTTTCGGCTTTTGCGATCCCAAGTTCAAACGCCCTAGTCACCATTTCTGCAACTCTTAACCTTGTTCTTTATCTCCCTCGCCGTTGCTAGCCACCGGGGGAATGGACGCGTTTCGGAAGCAAGCCAGCAGGCTCAGGGAGCAAGTTGCCAAGCAACAGCAAGTCAGTTCTTCACCCACCTACTTCTCTTAAATCTCCCTTTTCCCCCCGTTTGCTTCCCGAGAAAATGCTAGGAAGAAAGAATAGCGGCCTAGCGGGAGTGTGCTTTCTAGTTGCAGTTCAAATTTTGATTAGTTTGGTAATGGGTTCGTTCTACTGGATTTTAGGCGGTGATTAAGCAATTTAGTGCCAGTGGGTACGAGAGCTCGGATTCTGTGGTGATCGATGAGGTCGAGTTGCAGAGGCATCAGCAGCTGGAGAAGCTCTACAGGACGACTCGAGCAGGGAGAGTAAGTTTTGATTTTTGAACCTTCCACAATCATTCGCCATTGATTGATTACCGAACTCCCAAGCTCCACAAACACAAATTGACTTTCTATTTGTCCAGGATTTTCAAAAAGATATTGTCAGAGCAGCAGAAGCACTCACTGCCATAGGATATAAGCATATCGAAGCAGGTAAATGTCGAATTGCCCATTATATTATTGTCATATTTGAATGGCCATGGATGTGGCTTTTGTGGGTGCTGATTTTGGTTGCTCTTGGTTCATTTATTGGTTTGGATGCATACTAACTGGACATGATCTTGGTAGTTAGGAACCAAGTTGTCTGAGGATTGCTGCAGATACGGAACTGAGAACATTAGCGACACCATGCTGGCTAAAGCTGCAGCTATATACGGTGATGCTCGTAAACATGTGGAAAAGGAGACCGAGGATTTAAATGGCTTACTTGCTTCTCAGGTTTAACCCTTTTTAGATGCTTCCTTACGCGTTCTGTTGATTATGTTTAGCGGATAATGATCCTTTGACATGTTTGGACTAGGTAGGTTGGGAGCCTAATTTTGATATTTTTATCTCAGGTTTTGGATCCTATAAGGGCAATGATTACTGGCGCTCCTTTAGAAGATGCCCGACATCTTGCTCAACGTTATAGTCGAATGAGACAAGAAGCTGAAGTACAGGTAACCAGATATTGAGCACTGTTAAGTTACTATGATTTTGCTTAGGTCTGATAATGATACTACCTCTTTTGGCCATCTATACATTCTGTATTCACCTCAAATTATTAGCGAAACAGGCTACTGAAGTTTCCAGAAGACAAGCACGAGTCAGGGAATCCCCCATCCCTGAGAACGTTGCAAAGTTGCATGCAGCAGAGGCAAAAATGCAAGAACTGAAGGCAAACATGGCAGTTCTCGGTAAAGAAGCTTCAGCTGCATTAGCTGCAGTTGAAGCACAGCAGCAAAGATTGACCTTCCAAAGGCTTGTTTCTTTGGTACACTTACTTCCTGCCACTTTCGTGAATTTTTCCCCCAACAAGTTGTGTTATTTTAGAGTTACATGCATCCCTTGAATTTAGGTTGAAGGGGAAAAGAACTATCACTTGCGACTTGGTGCCATACTCAGTGAGGTTGAAACTGAGGTTAGTCATTTTGGACTGATTATGAGTAGAGCTGAGTGATTCATTTATTTTGATGAAATAATTTTGCGGTCCAAGGCTT